GGGAGGAGATAGAGTATGAACGTAAAAGTGAATACCTGTTTAACAGCACTAACTACCTAGTCTAAACATTATTTTTTTTAAATTGTATCCACCATATATAACATAGACCTTACCTCCTAAGCTGGCCCAGCCATAAATGGGTACCAGGTACAGTCCTGGGAAGTAAAGGCGCCCAGCATGATGTTGACAATCCACTGAGTGCCGTTTTGTCTATGAAAATAAAGGTCTAGTCCTATATGTCTGAAGGTTTTGGAAAAGGGTCCTATACTTAACCTTCATATGTAACAGTCGATGAGTGAGAAAACTAGGACAAAAAAATTAACCTCTTGCTAAAATCCATTTCAACTTTTAAAAATCCAACAGGAAATTAGCATCCATTTTGATTTGTTTGTGTTAGGAACAACGGTGTCTATTTCATTAAGGTCATAATTTCAAATGTGACAAAGTTGTGTAATAATGTTTACAATGTCAGAACCCTTCTTTTGGAATCCATAGTATCTGAAGGACAAAATAATCACAAATCATGTCTTTGAATGGAACTGTTTAAATGCTTAATTATATTATCACAATCAATGTCACTGCACATTAGGCACTTCCAAGTTTCCTCAGTCCTGTGATGCAGCAGCCGTTCCAAGGTACCTTACTGATTGTTTCCACGAAGATTTGGTTACAGTGACACCTATTGTGACCTCAAAAACAGCATAAATGGGCTTTACCAGGTTTTACTCCCTGGCCTCATAATCAGGTTAACATCAGAGACTATTTATTTTATTCGGCAGCTATCCTTGGTAGTACCCCAACAAGTTTTATAAGGTACACATGTTTCATGTTGCCCGGTGACACAAAGTGCCACCATTCGGATGAGAATCATCCTGGCACAAGTCCAAGAAACCCCGTTCAAACTGTAGGTTATATTTAGGGCTCCCAACGACAGCCAGGGTGGGGGTTTTAAAAATAACAATAAAAATGGCATCCTGTATTGGGACGGAGATAATTGTATCTATCTCAAGGAGGGCATCTCGTATTGGGACAGAGATAATTTCATTTATCTCAAGGAGGGCTGACTTATCTGTTTATTGCTTTCTTATCAAAAACCATATCTCAACTGCAAGTAAATATTTTTCAGCCTGTCTGCTTATTGTCCAGGCCTTTTTCTTCTTTACGTCCTCTTGTACCGCTTCGGGTGTCGAGGGGGATATAAGGGCCTGCTTCCTGATTTTCTGACTGCTTCAGCCAAAGACACATGAGAGTGCTGTAGTTTCTCTGATATCTTTCTATTTGTCTTGGTCTACCTCTTGCTCTACGTCCCTCTCCTCTTTTGGTATATGCCTTGTATGGTATAGCATCAGAAGCCATTCTCTCCAAGTGAGCAAACCATTTGATTTTGCTGTCTTTGTATGTAATTTAGAATTGGTTCTGTGCCGACTTTATCTCGTTGACCTCATTCCTGATTTTATCTCTTCTGGTCACTTCTACAGCCTTTCTCAGACGCCTCATTTCCATGGCTACTAATTTTCTTTTATGTTTTGTTGTTTGTGACGTCTGGCCAGGTCACGCATGCATATACTGTCCTCCCCGGATATATGCTGCCAAATCTTCTGAGATAGAGAGTTAGATCTGATAATGTCCCTGTTTTTAGCTTGATGTTGGCCTCTCTTCTGAGTTTTCATTAGCCATAAAAGCTTAAAGCTTAACTATTACTATTTTTTCCCCCAAATAAACTGATGTTATAAACTGTTGTGAAGGAAATATTTTAACATTATAGTGAATGCAAAAGAGAGAAAGCAATCTGAAATACAAATACTGATCTGCTATAGAAAAGCTGTCCGAATTCTCTTTTAAGCATAAACAGTTTTATTACATGGAGCATGAGATCACCATTCATATAGTTTCCTTAACTACTTGCATTGCTACCTCCACAGTTCAGGGTGATATATACACTTACGATTTGCCTATTTTCTATTTGTTACAAAAAATATTTTGCATATTCTCATGATAGAGCTGTTATTATTTCTAACACCTACCTGTATTTGATTTAAGAAAGGCACATCTCTGCAAACATTTAAAAAAAAATAAAAAAATTAGGGTCAGTAGACACATACATACAAAATTACACTGTTTTATCAAATGCAAAAACAATGCACATTAAAGATGTATTTAAAATGATAAACTCCATCCTAATACTTTGTTAGCTGGGCCACAGAAGCCCAGGTCACCCCTGCTTCTGTCATACAGATGAAGTCACAGGTGAACATGTTCCACTGCTTGGCTGCTCCTCTCCACATGCACACATGAAGAACTACGCCTCCGATTATTTCAGCATTCAAAGATTTCACAGCATATGCCCAAATGAGCAAGTCAAAATTATTAAATCATAAGAGTATTATTTTCACAAAGGTGGTGAATAAAACATATTGTGCTGCATGTTAAAATAACTGGCCAGGTTTTTTTCTAGTATATTCAGATCACACGTTAGTTCACCTCATTTTTTACTTGATTACTAGCTGAATACCCAGCGTTGGTACTGTGCTACAGTCAACTAAGTGCTAAATCCTCGTTCTGAGAAAAAAATGAACATTCAGATTCTCTTGTAAATCATACTGTCTTAAATGAAAATTGTGTAGCTGTGTATAAGTAATACTTGATTTTGACCAATTCGACATGGAATTTATAGGGGTGTTTTTGCTATACCTAAAAGAGACAAATAACAGTTCTGAAAATGCAGTTATGTGAAAATTGGCAAAACTTCACTCTGGTGCTAATGAGATGTGTTGTTTATGCCAGATGTCTACTCGTAACAAAAGTCTAATTAGGCAAACATGTAACATTATCAAACTGTTGAACTCACTTGTTGAAATCAATAACTGTGACTTCAAACTCTCCATCGGTTTTCATAGCAGAGGTCAGCTGAAAAGAAGAACAGTAACTAGATACTTAAATGCACAGACAGTCCTGTTTAGATATTCATTTTAAAAATCTCATGTGATTTCCCTAACTTAAAATATCAAAAATAATATCTGATTAAATCTTGCAAGGGTATTTATATATACACAATACTGTCTACATATTTAAATGTAATCCCTGTGGATCCCAATGTGGGGTGGGGGGTGGGGAATAATAGACCCAGTGCTTCCCTAACAAGCATGTCGCAGGAGGTGACTAATTAGGGGTCTGTTTCCTTTTAAGTCAGAATGCATCTGCCTGAGAGACAAGGAACTAACAGTCTGCACACAAGCAAGCCAGATCAGTAAAATGGATATGCATGAAAAACTTACGTTCTGGAATAATACCAAATCAGAACTTTCCACCAGGGTTAACACTATGAAGAAGAAACAGATCTGAATTTAGTAAAATTCAGTTGTAAATCTTGTGCAGACACTTAAATGTACAATAGTACCTATTTAAATATTCATATTTAAAATTATATCTACCACTACCATCAAAACCTCTGCCAAATGGCATGTGAGTCATGCTTTTTCTAGCTCCAAATCCCCAAGGGATTGCATCAATCCATTTGCTATCTGCCCCCCCCCCCCCACCCCCCAAGTGAAAGACTCAAAAACCCAAACATCTACAAGATATTTTTTTCTTAAATCTTTCCCATTGTTTTACAGTGTGTTCCAGTTGATATTGTCACACAATGTGGTAGAATATTTCAGCTGCATCCTTCTAATGTTTGTGACAAGTTGTCTGTTTTATTTTAATGTTCCATTTTCCTGCCCTGATGCATACATCATCTTTTTAGTATTCACCTAAACTCCAGGAGAAAGTTCTGGTTGTTATTCACTTCTGAACTTGTATTCTTGTTAAAGAACCCGAATTTCACTTGTACATCCATTTTACAGATTTAATTTGCTTGTATGCATACTGCGGGTTCCTCGCCTCTCATGCAGTGTACAACCAAGATCATTTCTTGAGGCAGTTTTTTTGGATGCTGTCAACCCATTCTAGCTGGAGTTGCCTGTTTGTATATTCTTAACCACACTCAATAACTCTGTCACTACCAATACATGAGCTGCTTCCAATACTGCTCATATACACAGTGCAGACTGCTAAACACCATCTCAGATTTGGCAAATTTCTGTTGTGAAGAAGAAATGTTTCTCGCCTGATGCTTATCTTTATATGAGGAATTTCTGGTAAGAATAACCATTTCTTGGGACCCTGGTGAGTTCTCCTTTTTAGGTCTGCACTATACTGTGAAACTATGGCACAACATAGTGGTTGGTTACATTCCCAACAACAAGAGGATTTTTTTTTATTCTTGTACAATGCTGGGCTTGACCCAAACACATAAAGCAGATCAACAGATAAATGTCACAAACTTCTAGGAAGAAAAGGTGGTGTACGAGGAAACTGGTCACCAAACTTAAAACATATTGCTGACCTAAACCTTATATGCCACTGGTACCTTTTTGTCTTTCCAGACAACAGTGTTATATGTGTTACAGGGACACATGGGAATCATAGCCGCTAAAGTAAAAAAGCCTGGGCAGTATTGCAGAAACCACTTGTTTCCCCATGCAGCATGATCCGTCTCTCTGTGTCTACCTTGTTTACTCCAAAAGAAAGGTAACATCAAAATGTGTGGAACAAAGCATGCTGTAGCAGCTGCAGGATCAGAAGAGCAATGCTCTGTATGTCAGAGCTTTCCTCCTGACCAGCTGCCAACCAAGCCTGCTTTGCCCTACCAAAATTGTAAGTTTTCACGCAGCATTCCCTCTTCTTAGAATAAAACTGTTCACAACTGGCTATAAGGTGACCTTTGTCTGTAACTACTGTACTGTAACAGAAGTTTGATGCTGACTGTAAAGTTCTTAAAATAGACAATATCAGGAACTGGTAAGACATGACTAGTTATACATACTATCTCACCTCTGCTTTATTCAAAATATTTCTGTACTTTGTACCTCGAACAAGAAGGGTAATGCGAATTTGGTCTCTCTGTAGAGGTTTTATAAAACACGGTGTTAATGATAGTAGATATATCAAAAGTATAACAACTGTAACATAGGGAAAATCAGTGTTGATGTTTGTGTGAGCTACAACACATATTTACATACACCTTCATATTTTACAGGTGGCGTCCATGGCTTAGGCATTGTGAATCATACTCATAATTCCAGCGTACTGCGATCAAAACCCACATTTGGCTGCGTGGATTTTTATCATGGTATGGGGCGTTCCAGGTCAACCCAACCTAAAATGAATACTAGGATGTATGTCCTGGGGAAGTAAAGACGGCCGGCATAATGATGACCACATAACCCACCAAGTGCTGATGGTCTGTAAAAATATGGGAGCTCTTCCCATATACCTGATACACCTAAAGGGTGAAGAGAGATCTTTTACTTTATTTTTTTTCTTACACATATAATTTTAGTTATACATTGTAATAGAGAAGCCATTTTTTTGTTAAAGTTGATAAAAAGTAAAAGACCTTTTTTCACACCAGTAGTGCAGTGTGCATATGATACCAGAATGCTATTTTTTAATAGACCAATCAGCCCTCAATGGGTAATGTGGTCAAACCTATGCTGACCGCCTTCACTCCCGAGACACTGCCTGGTACCCATTTAGACTGGGCCGACTTGAGAGATTTGTTGAAAGTAGCTACTGAAAAACTTTTTTTTTTTTTATTTGCAAAGCATACATTTCTTGAAAAAACAAACTTGTAATTTGTAATAAAAATTACCCACATAAAAAAATTAGCAAGCATATAATACCAACCAGATATGTGTTAAAGATTTTATATTAGACTTGTGTGTGTTTATTAACAAAAATAAAATTGTATGAACACCTCTATGATAGATATTGTAAAAGGTATTTTTCTATTAAGAGGAAAAAAAATGGAATTTTATAATAGAAAATCATCACCACCATCATCATTCTCATCAAGTGCCTTGCGGACTGGGGTAGGTGATCATGCCTCTTCACAATCTGTGATCCGCAACTGTGTGTATCAGTTTTTGTGTTGACACCGCTTCATGCCATGATAAAAGCTGTCAAGAATCTTCTCGCACCGTCTTTCTCTGTCTTTCTTGCCACAGATCTTTCCAGTGGTCACAACATGTTCCATTTTCCCTCTTCTCATAATATGACCAAAAAAGGATGACTGTCTCTTTCTGTTTGCGATAAGTTGTCTTTGAGCACCTGCCTCTTTCAAAACATCTGGGTAGCCCGTCTTAGCTGTCCAGGGAATTCTAAGGATTCTTCTGTAAAACCACATCTCCGAGGCCTCAAGATATTGTTCACCCGCATTAAAAATAAATCTAGCAATCATTTAATACCTATGAGATCTATGTTAAAGATTTTACACTAGACTGATATGTGTGTGTTTTTAACTGAAACTGTATCAACACTTTCCTATGTTAGATATTTTCAGGAGATTCTGACCATAACTGTGTGTCTCTGCTCCTTCTTTCTTCCTGCACCTGACAGACATGACTTCAGCAACAGATCTTTTTGATTTGTCCTCCTCCTCTAATTCCCAACTCTCTCAGACTGGAACAGTTACCAGGAGGTAATTTACATACTCCTCAGATTATTCTCAGATTATTATGAGGTTTTGCTATTTCTTGTTGAAAGGTCAAAGGCAATCGAGCAAGATGTGGGCAATGATACAAATGGGAGCACAACAAGAGATGGATGGGCAAGTCTAAAAGAGTGTACAAGCAGGACAAGAGACAGAGCATGCTGGGGATCCATTGCAGCCAACCTTGACTGTGGAGATGGCACTTGATTGATTGATCGCTTGTCATTAATGTCAAGTTGACATTCAGTTGATTATATAAGCTTACCAATGGGCCACTTTGTCGGACACCAAGTCGATACAAAACATGTTCTGAAAATGCCTTGATGAGGCTGCTACCAACACATCCTGGCATCTTTCAAACAAAACAAAAGACAAGTATTTTAGTGATAATTCTAAAGTGAGTTGGGAGAGAGAGAGAGAGAGAGAGAGAGAGAGAGAGAGAAAGAGAGAGAGAGAGAGGGGGGAGAGAGAGAGAGAGAGAGAGAGAGCGAGCGAGCGCGCGAGAGAGAGAGAGTGTGTGTGGGTATGTGTGAGACTGTAGTGTGTGCACACATAACATACTCCTATGGTAAAGGATCTTTAGCAGGAATTAAAACATTATCATTAGTATAAGCTTGCCAGCTGCAGTAAGAAAAGGAGTATTAAAGTATTATAAATTCCAATACAGTTGGTCTCCATGCCTTTATGCAAAACTGTGGGTTGCTCTCTTCTGAGCTGAGTTCTCTATCAGAGTTCATTTAGTTCAAGATATTTTCATTACATTTCGTAATCGTCCATGTCGCCATTTATTTGAGTTCATTTAGTTCAAGATATCTTCATTACATTTTGTATCCGTCCATGTCGCCATTTATTTGAGTTAATTTAGTTCAAGATATCTTCATTACATTTTGCATCCGTCCGAGTCCTCATTTATTTGAGTTCATTTAGTTCAAGATATCTTCATTACATTTCGTAATCGTCCATGTCGCAATTTATTCGAGTTAATTTAGTTGAAGATATCTTCATTACATTTTGTATCCATCCGAGTAACCATTTATTTGAGTTCATTTATTTCAAGATATCTTCATCACATTTTGTAATCGTCCATGTCGCAATTTATTCGAGTTAATTTAGTTCAAGATATCTTCATTATATTTTGTATCCATCCGAGTCCCCATTTATCTGAGTTAATTTAGTTCAAGATATCTTCATTACATTTTGTATCCGTCCATGTCGCCATTTATTTGAGTTCATTTATTTCAAGATATTACATTTTGTATCCATCCATGACGCCGTTTATTTGAGTTTATTTCATTCAAGATATCTTCATTACATTTTGCATCCATCCATGTCGCTGTTTGTGGCTAAGGCGTTGCAAACAGGCATCATAATTCTGAGGTTCAATTCCGGCTGCTGGCGATCTGGCAGAAAATCCTCTTCAGTTGGTTTCATCCCTGTGTGGGTTCCGGGGTCTTATTATAGGGAAAACAAGAATAGACCCACGGCCTACCCAAAAGCACGTCGTAAGAGTCAACTAATTGGGAGCTTTCTTCAAAGTCGGAAGTGCAACTGCCTGAGAGGCAAGGAACCAACAGTCTGCATTCAAATTAGCCAGATATGTCAAACGGATGCACACATAACACTCAAGTTCTGGAACAGGACCGCAGTCCAGAAGTGGACGAACAACCAGAACTTTCTGCCAGAGTTTACAGCCGGTGAACACAAAGAAGAAGAAGTTGGTTTCAACAGTTCAGAAAGCAATGACAAACTAAAGAACGTGAAGTTGCCTAGGGAAATCACAAACAGCCAAAATTGCAGGCGTTGGTTCTGCAACGGCCTGTAGAGGACACACAACTAACTGAATCGCGTCATTTGTCTTCTACATTCTCACTAATTTGCTGTATGTCCCTTATTTACATCAATAAATTGTTTAAAACTGTTTATAATCATTTATAATAATAATAATAATAAACACTAACAAGCTAAGAATTACATTGTGCTTCTCTGTAAATTTCAAGTATCAAGATAACCTCAGGGTTTTTTTTTTTTAAATTTAGCCTCTACTTGCCTCTTAAACTAGGGAAAAAAAGGAAACTGGAAATTATACAGAAATATTTTAACAATTGGAGTTACCAATGGCATGTTGTAATAAAGGCCAAATCGCATCCTTGCTAAAAGGGGGAATACAGCATCGTTGATACAGATCTGAAAGACAATATTTGCAAGATTATCTGAAAGTTAAATAGTTCCTGCAATATATTTGAAATATGCAAAGTACATGAAAGGTGTGTATGATAGTTTAAAATTTTGAAACAAAATATTTATCAATACAAGTCTTCAAAACAGTGGCACAAATTTGGTAAAATATAATAAATTAATTGTAGTCTGACAGAAAGTTTTGGTTGTATGTCCACTTTTTCTTTTCTAGAACTTGAGTTTGTATGGAGGCTGTTTCCTCAATATTCAGGCACATAATTTTCAAACTTTGAAGGAAACATCCCTAAGTAGTCAATTTTTATGACACACCTGCTAGGGCAGCAATGGACCTATTTTTTTTTTAATCTATCCAAAATGGGGACCTAGAACTCACACCGGTTCTAACAATAGTTATGCTAAATGTTTTTCTTATTAACTAGTGGTGCAAACTTGTATAAATGAGAAAACAAAGATGAGATCTTAATTGCAGGTAGGAATGAAGAATCGTGTCTATGCTCCTTAACCTAGTAAATGATATGAACAGCTGTTATTTACAATATATAGTAGTAGCATTATGCAAGGATGTTCATCCCACAATTATAAATCATGGTAAATCATTCAAATTTACCGATCATCAGTCCTGTTATCCTCATTTACAACCTAACACACAAGATAAATTAAGATAAAATTAGAATCCTACAGTACAAAAAAAAAGTAAATAACTTTCCAAGCCACTGTGACACAACTGATAGTTTAAAAAAAAATAAAAAACTAAGTTGAATATCCTTTACAGGACACTGCACAACCAACCCCAGCATTTGTGGTTTCACTAAGCAATTTTTGTGTTCAGTAGTTTGTCACTGCTTTCTGAATGGTCAGTTTTTGATACCATTGTTGAAACCAATAAAAGTCAGTCGCTGTAAAACTTTCTGCATTTGGAATCGAACTCGGCACCCCCAGAATTATGAGACACATTCGCAAAGCCTAAGCCACAGGCGCTGATATGATGGGTGATGTTTCAAGTATCTTCCTGAATGAGGTATTTCGAAAAATGGCTGGTTTGACCCCAAAGCCTTATGAACCATTTCTGTGGCAGACCTGGTAGAGGCCTAGCATTACAGAGCAAGCAGAACTCAACAAGTGTTATTTCAATTATCTCGCTGAATGAGGCCCTTCCCAATATGACTGGGCTGACCCAAAAGCTTTATATCACAAACAATTCTGTCCTGAAGAGGATTTGAACCCACAAACACAGGGTGAGCTTTGTTGGAGAAAAAAAAAATCATGTTCAGTCAGCTTCCCCGAAGGGAAAGCTTTAGGTTATAATTGTGACTAGGTTATGTGCACCATATAAAACGGTTCAGCAATGCACGTCACCAAGAGCTCTGAAAAAGGACTCCTGCAGTGTTGATGTGATCAGAGGAGATAGACCCAATTATTGTCCCGACCGGTGACGGAGTCATCTACCAGCAAGCCAATGGTGAGCAGATGAAACTACTAGCCAATAGACAGTCCCTACAGCTCTTATCAATCAGCAAGTCTTTTACAGAACATCACTCTCCACACAGCACACCTGAAAGTATCCCTCTTCCTAGCCAGCTCTCCAGCCCCATGTGCTTTCAATGCCAATGCATCCACAATGTCCTGTATCCATCTTCGCAGAGGTCGACCCCTGCCTAGCTTTCCACAAACTGCACCCCCTATCACCGTCTTTTCCAAGCCACCATGATGTTTGATGAGGCCAAGATACTTCAACTTTCAGGACAGGACACTGTTTACGAGCCAGTTCTCCTCAATGTTCAACTCGTACAGAATATCAATGTTTTTCCTCTTCTTGATCCATGGTAGTCTGTGAGAATTTTCTTGTGCCATTCTAAAAGATTTCTGAAGCTTGAGATGCTCAGCTGTGTGGCTGTGGAAAGCAAGGGGAGACTACCACATTATATATCCCTAGAAACTCAACAGCTCTTACAAATTTATCAAAATTAAAAGAATGAATTAATGTTAACAGTGCTGATACCTTTTTTCCATCTAAATCGCTCAAAGGTATAACAGGACGGTCTGTGAACACTTTCCAGGTCAGGCTGAAAAAGTCACCATATGGCATTGGGCTCTGTGAATATATTTAGATGATGATGGTGATTAATTAAGCTGATAAGAAATAATTTCTTGTGCCTCCTTGTGTATGTGTGCTTAATTTTTAATTTATGTGTTTTAAAGCTTCAAAATTATTTAATATCTAAAAGTAACAGTTGAAAGAAAACATTAACGGTGCAAACTCACGACACCAATAAAAAATTGTGTTTTTAAATACAGCCCTAATTCACAGCACATGAGATTCTAGTACACAGAAGGGTCCACTGTGTGATCTATTGGGGGGGAGGGGGAACTTAAGCATTTATATATAAGCAACAATGTGAAATGAAAGTGATTCAATGCAAACCAAACAGTCAGGCAAAATATATCCAAGATAAAGATGAATTCTTACTTACTGTGTCCCACATAATGATGTTGACGTCAGTGTCAAATGAGTTGTTGATGTGCTGTGATGCATAAAGGTTGACAAAATCACAGAAGTGGTGGTACATGTTGATGCCTGAAAATATATTGAAGCCAAATGAGATTTTTTAAAGAAATCAAACTTAAGAATTAATCTACACAAGAAAAAAAAATGGTTTTAAAAAAAAAATCATTGCAGTTTCTGGAAAATGAGGCGTAGGCTGACCTCCATGAAGGTGAATACAGTACATTAAAGATGCCTTGGCTATGAAAGCACACCGGGCTGGAGATCTGGCTAGAGAAAGAGAGACTGGCTAATGATGGACATGTAACAGGACATGTCCGTACTGATATCCTAGTACACTGGTTAATACCATTTGTGCACCATCCTCTGATGTAGCAGCTTGTCGTGAAATGATAGTCATTACACATCGGTTTATAAGGCTGATAACCTGTCTTACCTGTAATCTGCACAAAATTCAAACTTGGACTCGCCCAGAAATATATAGTCCCTTATATCTATATATATAGGCCTGTATTGGACAACATTATTATGTCTGCCTTTTCTGGTTACTTTAACTAAACTCCACTTTTAAATGTATTTCTTTTGGGGATATATTTAGGGAGTTAATTGAGGTTTCTTGGAAACCGATTTACTCCTTGCCCCAGTATACAAGGAACTTCTTTTGTACCAACGCCCTGAAATGTCTAACTGACGCCATTCTCCTTGCCAGCTTCTCAAGCCTCCAGATGTGTTAATCTGTGCCTGTATACTTTAAATTTTCAAAGCAATCTGGAAAGATCTCAGTTTTACATATGCTTGGGTAAGTTAATTATAGTTTACGAGTACCTAGAATGTTGTCTGTAAAGTAGTCACTGCTGTAGAGAAATCCATATCGGCTGTGTGATCTCACTTAGTTTCTACCATTCTTGATCGCGAGAGTAGCGGATTCGAACGTAGATCTTCCACTGTACAGACTAAAATAGCTTATGCACTCAATAAACCACCCATACTGATAAACATTTAATGCCCTTACTATTGTGTACGTTTTAAACTACTTACAGAATCTGTACATACGAGATGGGGACAGAATTGGGTCAGGGCTGTGTTAATCAAAGTATGTGTGTGCTTGACCCAGATCAATGAGTGCTGGGGCGGTTGGGAAAACTAGTGAATGCAGGTACTGACAGTAAATATTGGTGTTTGTGTGCAGAGTGAGGGGGATAGGGGGAGATGATATATGTGTTAGACCACTTTATCTATCTCCACTGCATATCTGACTTGCCTTCTCTTGCACTAAACAGACAGATAAATATAGGAGACTTATGTCTTTTGGTCTGGAGAGACAATCTGAGGAATGAAACAGGAGAGCAGGGAGGAGTCAGCAGATGGGAGTTGATGACTATGCTTGCTCTGTCTTTCCTGTCAAGATGTTACCCTCTTGATGATGACTAATGTTGAGTTATTTTCTTGACAGGATGTATATTTTTCTGAAGAGCTGGCAGAAGATTCACAGTCTCAACAACATCCACCCACCAATCCAACCACCAGAACCAACTTGTTACCCACCAGATAACACCTGTGAAGGTTCCTGACATCTCCAAAAATGGGGGAGATTGTGCCTCAAACAGCTACCAGTGCCAGAGTAATGTGGCTCTAAGACATTGTGTGTCCTTACTGGTGATATAGACATGCTAGATACCAGTACAGTTGCTGTACAGTGAAGTACTCTTGCTACTTGATCCAGTGGAGCAGAATTCCCAGAGTCAAAGACAGTCAAATCATCCGGAGCTGAGGGAGGCATCATAGATAGAGATAAGAGAAGATAAGTCTAATGCTTCGCATGATGTTGTGTTCCTCACAGCTTCCTGTGTCCAGTGATGAGAAGATGTCATCTCCAAGACCTTCTGTCTGTGTAGATCCTAGTGATTTGGACATGATTTCCTGAGATCTGGCAATTTGTCTCACTGTTATATATCTAATTTATATTGATTATATACATTCATTTTCATGGCTGACTTAGGTGTCTCTATTTCACCGTTTTTAAGTGTTTCGCAGTTGTGTATGTATGTGTATCTTCTTTATATGTGTTAACATGGTTATGATAATGAACGATCATAACCTGGGGCTTTCTTTAGTAAGTAGTGGGGGTGTCCAGCCAAGTGTGCCTAGAAATATATATATATATATATATTGACATATTTTGTAGTGCCAATACTTGAGTTGCCCTACTCCAGAGATAAGTTGATCGTATATTGGCCACGGGGAATCCCTTAGACCAATACGAGCCAAACGACTCAACAAAATTATCTCTGAGTGCTGCTGGTTCTGAAGGAGAAATCCTTACATTAGGCACGCGACCGGAGTGATATGTGACACAGCTGACTAGCAGGACCTGCTAGCTTCCTTTTCTCCATTGCACAAAGCCTGGGCAGTATTGTTGCTTGTTACTTGTTGCCCGTACTGATAACTAAGCACACTGGTCAAACCCATTTGTGCACCATCCTCCGGTGCAGCATCCATCTCAGTGTCTCCATGCTGAAAGCACCCAGTGAGAGTTGATGGGTATATCTTCTTTCTTTGCCTCACAATCGATTTATGTAAGCTTGTCCTTGTTTAACACCAATTTCCAACAGTCAGTTAACTGTTTCCAACTCCCTTCTTCTTCTTCTTCCCCTTCACCAGCTGTAAATTCTGGCGGAAAGTTCGGGTTGTTCATCCACTCTAACTCCTTTGTCTCAACATCTCTGGAACACGGCACATTCCTTACGTCTGCCCTGTCCACAAATCTTCTTCTATAAACTACTGCAGACAGGGCCAATCTGTCAGCTCTTTAATTTACTTTCACCCCAGAGTGTACTGGTGTGTACAGCCAAGACAGTTTCTTGTGAAAGGACTTCTGGAAGCCTGGGCTGTATGGTAGAGACCATGTGCTGTCCATACAGCATGATCCATTTCTCAGCCTGTCTTGTTTACTCTAAAGGAAAGGTAACATCAGTATGTCTGAATGCTGTAGAACTTTCTAGATCAGGACAGCAGTGCCTGTCTGTCCATTTGTTTAGAAGCCTCCCCCCCCCCCCCCCCAACCAGCCATCAACCAAGGCAAAGGGTCTACAACTACTTCTTCTTCATGTTCACCAGCTGTAAACTCTGGCAGAAAGTTCTGGTTGTTCATCCACTTCTAGACTGTAGTCCTGCTCCAGAACCTGAGTGTTGCATATGCATCCATTTTACAGATCTGACTCATTTGTATGCAGACTTATGGTTCCTTGCCTCTCAGGCAGATGCACTCTGACTTTAAAGAAAGCTCCCAATTAGTCGACTCTTACGACATGCTTTTGGGTAGGCAGTGGGTCTATTCTTATTTTCCCTATAACAGTGCCCCCAAGCCCACCTGGGGAGATTTAGAACTAATAACATGATAACAAACATGATTAATATAGTTTTTAAGACAGCTACAGGTATATACAACACCTACCGGCATCAAGTTTTATCAAATATGTTGGCTTATCAAAAACAATATCACACCCTTCTCCTTTGGAGGGAAAAAAGTTCAAAGACGTGAAATGCTCAAACTCTGCAAACCTGGAGATAAGAAAATGAGAAAACATGACCACAACAACAGTGAAAAAGCTCACACAGTTGTTGTGATTCTCAAAATATATTTCTATGCAACATTTTCAGAACAGCAATATATTCTGTGCATTAATTTTCTAAATTAATTCTATTTTCACATAGAAATAAATAAATTACTAGAAGTCCACAGCCTTCAGCAGGGCTTGAATCCAGGACCTCCATCACTCGAGGCGGACACCACACCTTGATACCACTGTGTGTGTGTGTGTATGTGTGTGTGTGTAATTTGGCCCACAATTTTAAAAAATGCATTATGTACACACTGGTCCCATCCCTATGGGGGATGTATTTTTCTTTATTTTAATGCCCCACCCTGGTTGTTGCCTGGGGCCCTAATATAACCTGATGGTTGAACGGGATTTCTGGGACCTCTCTCCACGGGTGATCCTCATTTGAATAGTGGAACTTTGTGTCACCGGGTGTTTATCGCTCACTGTGATGTCCTAGTGGTGCAGAACGTCAGTCAGTCAAAAGATACACATAGACTATCTGCCTGTGTCTAAAATGATTGAGACTAATTTAAAATATCTGGACAAGGTCCAATGTTCAGAAAATGCATTGTTTTGTTAGTTAGTCTTATCTTTTGAGCCTAGGGTGGCGCACAGGGCAGAGGTCATAGCTCTCCATGTCTGCAGGTTTGCTGCCACCTGTTTTAGGACTTAGATATTCATTAGGCCCATGGTTGAACCTTCCCTGATAATGGTTCTACACAGGGTCTCTCTTGCTCTACCTCATTTTCTTTTCCTTTCCAGTGTCCACATGAGCGCTTGATGGGGAAGTCTTTTCTTATCTATTCTGAGTGCATGGCCAATGCAGTAATTTTTTTTTTTTTGCACCAACTTTGTTCCAAAATGTCCAATTATTCAACTATGTTATCTATTGAACATCTAGAGCTTCTATTATAATTATAAAAATATAAAATAAAAATAATTGTCTGAGACTTAATGTGTAGTGTTTAGACAAATTAGTGTTATGTGTGTATGTCAGTAGACAGGTAGGCATATAGGTAATTAAACTTCATTAGACAATCTAATATTTCTGCCTTTTTTGTTTATCTTAATTTTTGTAATTGATTTGCTCCAAAATGTCCAACTGTTCATTTAGATCTCCTATTTATGTGTGACAAGACTGGTTGTGACCAAATTTTAACTTTTGAACATCGCTAGTTTTTTTTTCTTCTTCTAATTACACACATGGCACACAAAAATGTGAAACACTAGTTTGGGCTATCCTAATTTTTCACCTCAATTTGCTTCTAAAATTCAAATTACTCATCCAGAGTATCTAATCAGCACCTAAAGTATTGACTAGCATGACAGTAGAATCCCTGGAAATGAATACAGGAACTGATACATGCTGTTGAAGGTCACCGATTGTGTACAGCAGTGTTTCCCAAACTTTTCTTAGTTATGGCACCTTTTTTCAATAAAAAATGTTCCACGGCGCCCTAACCTAAGTAAAAGCATGACTATTCGTAAGTAAGAGATAAAAACAAATCACATCACACAAATAAAATCTAGATAATTTTAGCTTCTCATGTTTTTGTTTAGTTAGGCCAAATGTCTTGCTAAATTAATTATGAAGTTTTTACAATATTTCATGGCGCTCCTGTGAAGAGGTTGCGGCTCCCTGCGGCGCCACAGCACACAGTTTAGGAATCACTGGTGTAGAGGCATGATCACCCATGCCGGTCGGCAAGGCACTTGATGATGATGATTAATCATATTATTTATTGTAACTTAGATTTAGTAAGAAACACATACATTACTCACCAAGATTGTAGTGGACTCTTATGTTCTCCTTCCGCTTTGAGAGCATTCACATCAAGCTGACAGTGACCTCCAATTTGGTTAGGACCCAAAATGTCCTCTCGATAACGATTTCTTCCAACAAGGAACACATTAAGTTAATTTCAATCAAAACTGATTATTCCTTAACTGTTTATAGCACATGAGCAACAGTGGAATATGTAATAATCGGTGTATGGGCACACATACTTGCGATTTATTTACAAGAGGTTACCGACAGTACAGAACGTATGGTAGATACAGGTCATTGGTAAGTTACCAGGAAGAGAATAAAGTATTACATCACAGAATACTGTCCTTAAATAAGCTGGTAATCAAACAATCCATCATTAAGATGCTTTTGCAACTATTCAAATAGGTTGCTAGAAACACAAGAGATCAACAAGATGGTATTATCACAATCAGTAAATTATCTTTAGCAAAACAGTATTAACAAAACTGAATTTAGTAACATGATCAATCACAAGGCAACCAGTAACACAATCAATCAGCATAGTTTCTAGCAAAAAACAATGTTTCAGATCATCATCATCATTAAGTGCCTAGCCAGCTGGCGTAGGCATGCATGCATCGCCACAGATCTCAGTCTTTGGTGTTCTGGATCAATTCTACTGATGAAATTCCTCCATGCCACTGTCTTAAGCCATCCACCATCATTTCTCTTGCTATGCCTCTTCTACCAGTGATCTCTCCAGGCATCATATTTTCCAGTGCTCCTTTTCTCATCACATGACCAAAGAACTTACAGATAAACAACAAATATTTGTGTAGGATTTGGTAACATAACTAGATTTTGAAATCAATTTAGCATGCTAGTTGTAAAATAAATGCCCGACTTTGCTCTGACTTAGGGAAAGAAAAAGCTGGCCATTCTGCATATGTCTCAACTTGTCTCCTTCTTCTAAGTCCAATTTCACAGCATTAACTGGCTGTAAACTCGTGACAGAAAGTTCTATGTGTTCGCCAACTTTTGCACTTAAGTCTTATTACATAACTTGAATTTTGCATGCATATCTGTTTTACAGATCTGGCTTAATTGTGTGCAGACTGTTAGTTCCTTGCCATCTGGCAGATGCACTTCTTTTCCTCTCTGGCAGATGCACTCTGACTTTGAAGAAACAAATCCCCAACTGGCACCTATACCCCCCCCCCCCCCCAAAATAATGAGGTTCTGAAACTCACATGGGGAGGAACTTGTAAAGTTTAGCCCTATTTTGTTTTGGGTACATTCACAGTTTGTATGTTTTTGTTTTTAATTACGAAGATATTTCATTGATTTTTCTTCTTGTCCGAAATCACTATGTATTATGTATTATGAGGTAAAAAGATTTGTAAAAATTAAACTGGTATCATATTTGAAACTAAATAAGCTACTCATGTTAAACAACTCATTTCTGTTTTATGGACAGACCAGAGCAAGTTATTCCTCTACGCAGGACACAATCGACTTCGCAGCCACATGTACACAAAAATTTAAAATCGCCGAATTAGCCATGTGCACATGTGGATTGGCACCTGGGACAACAGATCCTGTCCTCTAAGACTGTCCCAAATACAACATATCAAGGCAAAACTTTTGGCCAGGAGAAACATCGGTGCAAGCCAAACTTTACGGGTCGCTGAGTGAATTACAAAAGACAGTGATGTTCATAATAGAGACAACATTGCAGATGTAGATAATCTATTTCAAGCGAATGAAAGAAGAAGAAAAAGATTTCTAAACAATTTTTTTAAACATATAAGAATAAGAGAAAAGGTTGAAGTAAATGTCAACTATACCTGTCTATTCCGTGAATGATATCTGCTGAGCTGAAATCAATGTATATGTTGCGTGCTCTACAATACCTCAAATAGCGACAGCATTCAAGGCTAGAATCACCCTAAAACAAATAATAGTAACATTACAGGCTACCTGTAGTTAGAACTCTGTAGCTGCCTCAGAGACAAGGAAACAACAGTCTGCACACAAATAAACCGGATCAGTAAAACGAATATGCACATGATATAGTCCTGGAACAGGACCAAAGTCCAAAATTGGACAAACAACCAGGACTTTTTGCCAGAGTTTACAGCCTGTGAGCATGAAGAAGAACTCGACAGGGAAGTTAACATATCTTCCATTAGGAATGTTCTGGGCCACTAACTTCTTCACACTCACTGGTGGAGATATCAATCACATCAGCAGTCTTTCTCCTGTTTTGTGCTTGTATCCTTTGCCAATTTAAAAAAAAAAAAATTTCATTCCTAATGTCACTTGTCCCATAATGATCATCACTAAGTGTGCTCATCCAACAGTCATTCTGAGCCCCCCCCCCCCCCCCCCCCCCCCAGTTCGAAGCATCCCTGTCTTCATCTTTCGCAGCAGGCTCTCATAGGACACTCCATTCTACTTACTGTTCATGGTTGGGTCTTTGCCAAAATTCCACTACAATGGTAGAGGTCTGGGTGTCAGTACATAACATGACAGAAATATTAAATAGCTCGCACAAGGCAACTTAATTTGATCAATTGCTAAGGCCGGACTGTGACAGCCTGATCCGATTGTTGCTCAGAAAGCAGAGTCAGATCAGCTTATTGAGATTAATGCCACACATACTTCTCATTACTCCCGAGTCACAATAAGGTTTTCTCTGGCATCTTGCCCAAATTTAATACTCATCCTCATCAATCAGCAGTACTCTCGAGTCATAATAAGGTTTTCTCTGGCATCTTGCCCAAATTTAATACTCATCCTCATTAATCAGCAGGTCCTTTACAGTTACAATATAATGCTACTCTCGTCACTTCATGCCTGAAAAGTCTCTTTCTTTAGCTATTTCTCCAGTCCTGTGTGCTTTCACAGCCAATGCATCTTCAATATCTCCACCTTCACACAGATCTGCCTGTTTCATTTTCTTAAAACTGTACCCTCCATCACTGTTCTCTCCAGATCACCATGACACATTTTGTTTTTGCACACATGCAAGCATCACACACTAAACAAATTTTACTTACACAATATGTTAATATTAAGTGAACTCATATTTAACAGGCATAATAATGCAACTGTTAAACTAAAAAATTTGCAAGCCATTAAAAAAAAAAAAAAACCAGAATATAAAATAATACAAAACTGTAACATGTTACTAAATAATGCTGACCTGCTGAAGAGGTTCACATAAAGTTTTCATTTCTCTACGCCTTTCCAATACCATACCAAAATCAGCAGTTGACCAGAATTTCTCAAGCTGCTCACTTTTATTTTGAGCCCTAAATTAAGATACATTTAAAAACTTGGAAATCTGTTGGAACAGTATTATTACATACTTTCAATTTTAAGGAAGCCACGATGATGTAGCAGGTATACGCTCACCTGAAGATCAGAGGGTGGTGGGTTCGGTTTCTGATGAAGCCGTATGTTTTTGTTATTGGTTTTCAGATTGACCCAGCTTGAGTGGGTACCAGATACAGTGCTGGGAAGTAAAGGCCGCTGGCATGGTGCTGCACATCACCTATTCAGTGCCGACTGGTCTATAAAATATAGGTTCTGAGAGCTGACATCAGCCTGCAGACGAAGCTCAATGTGTAAAAAGCTGTCATACTTCCTTTGAACTCAGGAGAAACATTTTGGTGATTGTGTGAGTGGGTAAACCATGATATCTATGCTTTTAGGCATGGCACATGATGAATGGTACATGTAATTCTACACCTTCAGATACTTGGGAGTGTGGTGGCTAATGTAGGTTTCTGAGAGGGTAAACCATGATATCTATGCTTTCTGGCATGGTACATGATAAATGGTACATGTAATTCTATACCTTCAGATACTTGGTAGTGTGGTGGCTAATGTATGTTTTTCATCACATATCACAAGAGGTAAAGATACTGATCAAGGAGGAATACAAAAACTCTTGGAAGCGGAGAACAAGCAGTAAAACATCCAGACGACCCAAACAACAGAATTAACAAAAGGCAGCACACAACAAATTTTTGACTAAGAAACAGACACTGCAGACCTAATGCAGAATGAAGGTTGCACAATCTGCCCAGCATCCCTGCCAAACTACACTCCAAACACCTGAGCACAGACTGCAGAACTGCTGCCTACATCAAAACCTGCAAGAAAAACAAAAGGCCAGATAGAGGGAAGAGGCATCAAGGAACTCAAGAGAATTCTTGGAGAGTTGCTGCTGATGAGTCAATCCATGGAGGCAATACAGCTGATAACCTGAGCATATGAAACCAATCGCAATGAAGAAGCAGAAGAAGAAATTACTCATACCTTCAGCACTGAAACACTTTGCTGGTGATGAAGATGCAGCACTTATGAGAATGTGCAGAGTACTGTGATGTCAGTTCTGAAATGAACTCAACTAGGTCACAAGAAGACCAGCATGATACTTCTTCATCTTAGCTTTCAGGTCACTGATCAAGCTAAACCTGCAATTCTTTAGCCAGGGTACCAGGAAGTACACTGGCTTCACCAGGTCAGTGTGAGAACCCCACAACCTTTGCTTCAGCATTTATCTCTGACCAGATCTCTGACCAGCAGACAAAAGTGACTGGCTTGATACTTCTATTTCTTAGCATTTAGGTCACTGGTCAAGTGACGACTGCAATCCAGTCACCAGGGTTCACAAAGCTCATTGTCTCCTTCAGATCAGTGTTAGCTTTTCAACCTCTGCTTCACTTCATCACTCTGGGCACATAATTAGGTGCATATTCCTGTAAAGGTACCAATCATCAGGGAACCGCTGTGGTGGGGCGGCTAGACGTTCGCCTGCAGATTGGAAAGTCGTGGGTTCAAGTCTTGTAAAAAAATGACATTGGCTCCCAGGTCAACCCGGCTTTGAATGGGTACCAGAAGGAGTCCTGGAAAGCAAAGGCAGCCGACGTAATGCTGACCACACCATCCAGCAACTGCCGATCGTCCAGCCCTATATGCCTGAAGGCGTGGAAAGGGGTCATTTACTGTCACTCCTCAAGTGCCACATGATCAAGTATAACACCCAAATATGACATGCATCAGAAACAGGGTGCTTGCTTGTTATTGCTTCTAACCACCAAGAACTATGTCAATAGTTAATGAAAAAAGTGAAGGTCCCTTTATTTACCAGGTGAAGATCGGGGGTATGAGGATAGACTCACATTTTTTATCGACCAATCAGCCCCTGATGTGTGATATGGTCAAGATCAAGCCGGCCACCTATATATCCCAGGACTTTATCCGGTACCTTCTCCCTGTGGGTTCCGGGGCCCGATTGTAGGAAAAACAGGAACAGACCCACTGCCTACCCACAAGCATGTCGTAAGAGTCAACTAATTGGGAGCCTCCTTCGAAGTCAGAGTGCATCTGCCTGAGAGGCAAGGAACCAACAGTCTGCACACAAAAGAGTAAGATCTGTCAAAAAGATGCACACCAAACACTCAGCTTCTGAAATAGGACTACAGCCCAGAAGTAAACAAACAAAAAAAACTCTCCACAGGAGTTTACAGCCCAGTGAACGCAAAAAAGAAGAAGATCTGGTACCTATGTCTAGGTTGACCTAGGTGCCAAGGTCATGTAGGCGGATTAAAATCTATGACCTCTGAATCAGCACCATGGCGACTTCCCTGTCCCCCCCCTTCCCCCCCCCCTTTTTTTTTCCCATCGAACACCGGCTGTGAATTCCAGTGGAAGGTCCCGGTTAATCCTCCGCTTGGACTTTTGGCCTTCACCTGGACCTGATTTTTGCGTGTACAACCGTTTTTTATTTCCCTGCCTCTTGGGCAGCTGTACGCCGACTTCGAAGGAAGACGTCAGGCCTATTTCTAGGGTGACTGTGGCCATTGTTTTTTTGTGTGGGTCGAGACTGCCTGATTTGTGTGGTGTCCGCCATGTCTCCTTCGCCGCAGGTATTGCCCCGGAGTACCCCTTTGGGGCAACCCCCTGTGGAACAGTTGGCCCTCAAGGGAAGGCAGGGGCAGATCATGGGGCATTCCCCGCCATCCAAGGAGGCTTCCATGCATGCAGAGCCGGCACATGGCGCTCTGGTTCTGGGCTCACCCAAGGAATCGTCACGTCCTGCACATGCCTGCTTAACCTCACAACCGTATCAGGCCTCCCGCTCGACAGGGGCTGCGCCCTCTGGAAGTCAGCGGGGAGCAGCCCGTTGGTTTTGGACTTTTGTGATCACACAGATAGGTACATTTGCCCGGCAGAATTTCACATCCTGAATCAGGCATATCGTTATCAGTTTTGTCCCAACACTCGGGCGAGTGGGGTCTTTGGGTGTGGACATTCGGCCTTTAGCATTTCAGTGCAAATTTTGATGGTCAGATTTTGATCCGTATGATCTAGTTTTGTCGGACATTTAGGCTTAGCCATCCGATGGATGGTTGCTGTTGTGGTGTACCACAGCGCGGTGACGACGACACTGAGGGTTAACCGAGGATGTACGTGACTGGCCAGCCTATGGATGGTTGCTGTTGTGGTGCACCTCAGCGCGGTGACGACGACACTGAGGGCCAACCGAGGATGCACAAGGATGGCCAGCCCATGTATGGTTTCTGTTGTGGTGCACCTCAGCGCGGTGACGACGACACTGAGAATTAACCGAGGATGAGCATTGTGCAATGTTCTATTTACTCAGCAGTCTTTTAACCAAGGGTTGTGATTTTAGCTGTACTTTTGTCGAACCTACTCATGTTCCTAATGAGTTTTGATAACATTTTTCACCCAAGCGTTTGGGGGCGGGCTGATGAGAGCCACAAGGACTCATCACCTCTGGGGGCCGCCAAACTCCGAGATCCCCTGACAGCTCTGTTAATGCTCATTTGAGACATTATCCGTGGCGCACGACGAGGACGTGCTGTAGGGGTCCTGCGTGAGGTTCCGTACAACCAGGATAGTAAAGGACTGGCGCCCGAGTGACGTACGGAGTATCTCCTTATACACATCATGTTGGACTTAACTTCCCCTCACGCCTGTGACAAATCACTGCGCCACCCCCCCCCCCCCCTTCCCCCTCTTATGAACTCTGAGCTGTAAAATTATTTTTACCTGTAGAAGAAAAGTAGTTTTCACCGCTGAATAAAGAAAAATGTAAAAAAATACCTACCAGTATCGGCTATCACCAGAACAGTCTGGGTTAATGAGACGATCAGATGTGGGACAGGTACTTTCATACCCCCAACATCGTGTTAAGTTGAGAACATCCTGTATGAATACGTAATGTGATCAGACATATTCAGTTTCTAAACTCTCTCTCTCTCTCTCTCACTGAAGTGAAAATGTTTGAATGTTCATGTGTGTATATTTCGGTTTCTGTCTGTCTCTCTCTCTCTCGAGGAGAAAAAGGAGAAAAAAATTGTGAAAACTGTGTTCAGGAGTGTATGTTCTTGTCTGTATAAGTGGTGTGTATAGCTGTATTTAGGTTTGTGTCCATCTATGTGTGGGTGTGTATATGTATTTATGCATAAAAACATAAGCATGTATATGTGTATGTCTTTCCGGTAATTCTCTGAAAGTATTGTTTATTTAAAGATCATTTTCATCACACATGACCATAAGTGCTTCAATCACCTCCTGAGTTTGTCTCCAAGTGTTTTTGGCTAACAACTTCCATTCTGTTCTGGTTTATGTAATGACAGGTGGCTTCTGTATGGTTTTTCTGTCTTACAGTTCCCATCGGTACACCCAGGGTATGCAATCTATTCAGTGACAAATTATTTTCCAAGAAACTGAAAGCCTCAAAGCATTTAGTCTCTCGTGTGGCACTGATCTCTCTCCTGTCCACAGACAGCCCATTCCTGATAGTCGCACTGCCAGCCAGGGCATCTGCTCTTTTACTGCCTTACTCTGAATGTATATACTGTGTCAAAAGTTCTACAGAATGTTAATAATACCTAAATAAAACTCACCTTAAATGGACAAGTAACGTCGTGTTCACACATTGCACGTAGTTCTGGATTGTTGGTAAAGAAAAAGGGCATGTGAGATGGCCGTAAGTTGATTTTGCTCCATTGAATAGCCATGTCTGTCTGGATGGAACCGATGACAATGACCACAAACATCCAGAAATGCATTCTCTGTAACAAGCAAAGAGACAACATCTCCTGAATAGAGTTTAATAGAAGAAACACAAGTGTTATGCCTTCATAGGACCTAGGTTATGGTATATGTGGTGATCATTCATTTGTGCCTGCGAGAAAAGAAGGAATTAAATGATATGATAGAATCACTAATGTTGAGCTTTGGGAGAGAAATTCCAGTGAATCAAGAGGTGAGGAAAAGAGCTGGCGTTGGATAGGTCACACACTAAGAAAACCTGAGAACATAACTAGAAGGGTCATTAACAGGAAGCCACAAGGGCATAGAAATAAAGTTAAACAGGCTATCCTCTAAATAATGGTCCCAAATTATTGAAACCGAAAATATACCTTAATAGGGCCTCAGTCACATGTAAATTGTGGACTTTTCGGTGAATTTACCGCCACCGCTGAGAGTATCTCCCGCGCCACTACACGCGGCACGGAGTGGTGCTAAACTAAATGGCTGGGACTAATGAGCATGAGCTGCAGGAGATGCGGTAGCTGCTGCTTGTGAGTCCCAGCCATCTAGTTTAGACCCGCTCCGCGCGTAGCAGCGCGGGAGATACTCTCGGGGCGACCTTAACTCGGCGGAAGCTTTTTCGCGGTATGCTGCGTAGTCGCCGGAAAGAGGTCCGCTATATACATCTGACTGAGGCCCTGTTAGGGTATATTTTCGAACTCGATAATTTGAGACTGTTATTTGGTAGATAGCCAAAATAATTAGGAGTTCAATTTCTGGTGCTATGAGATGTAATACAATTAGTAGTGATCACACAATGGAAACTACTATTTTACACACTTTCAATTTTGTACCTGCTTTCTTCTTCACTGACCTGTAATCAGAAAAAAATAATCTCTTAACCACGTAGACATGCACTGTCTAAGATGGAATATGCACTATTTTATTTACAACCTGGAATGGCTGAACAGCCAACTGGTATTTTTAAAAATACAATCACGTTTTCTTTTATTCCTCATTCATACAGAAGTGAAAACTTTTCATATAAAATATTACACTGCAACATTGCCAATAAATGAATATTAAATATTATTAAAAATAATTTGTTTAATTACAGTTACCGTATTCAACTAAATTAAACGGCTGCTAAGCTTCCGCAGCATTCACGCTACTTATTTCTGTCAAAATGCAGAATGACTGACCGGGATATGAATTATTACTACCGATCTGGCAGAAGGATGAGCACAGTTCAAAATGTTTGTTTACATTTTCTGTTTTTATTTTTCGTGCTGGGGTGACCAGTGAACACTATTATTATTAACCATTAAGTAGTGGAGATATTTACTTACTTATTATTACGTGTGATTTCTTTTTAACTGAAGAGACTGAGATCAATCCGTGATGATTACAAACAAATATTAATAACTTCGACACAAAGTATTCTGTTACAGTTCTATACTCATGAGCCATCAGTTTAATAACGTGAACGAAGAGCGAGACGGTGTTAAAATGCGAAAACCTCTGATGGCTAGCAGACCACAGTTTCCTGTAGAGAGAAAGCCATCGCCATCGCGCTGGCCGCCTCCAGCTCTGCAGACGTTTTCACGGTTTCCAGCCAATAAAAACCCGTCTTCTGCGTCTTTCTAAAAAGTTTTTAAAAAACGTGGGTCACAACCTCTGACCTTTATTTGCAGACAAGCTAGCTGCATGTTTTGATAAAATTACTTTTGTGAATTTTAAACACGACCTGTAAGGTTAGTGAGAGAAATTTTAGACAGTATGGATGCTTATTTTGGAGCTTGAATGAGACCTTGGTGTGATAACGTTGTCGTTTGTTTGTCGTGCTGAATGTACTTGTATGTGGGCCGCCATTCCTGCTCACCACAAGTCAAAGCAGATTATTTTTATTTACCGTTGTGTGTTTCTGTGGATTTTTGAAAGAGTGCGTTAATGCCGTTATCTTCAAAGTCAATTTTTTATCCATTCTCCCCCACTTACACGTTTGAAAAATGCGCAGAAATATTGTAAATAATGCCGACAAACTAGAGCAACATTCAGTGGTGATTCACATTGTAATTTGTTGTCGGAGCAAAACTTTCTAGTTCAAGTTCAGTTTACGTGTGAGTCTGTAAGTGTAGCAACTTTAGCTTTCATATTGAAGGGGTTTTACCCACAAGACTACCTCAGCTGAATATAATAGGCCTTAAACTACCTAAATGGTATTATCATTTGTATTTGTTGCTTAACTCTCTAAATCCTAGGGAGTTTAGTTTAGCATCAGAGAGGGGTGGTAGGTGATCTGAGTAATCAGTACTGTAATGCAATTTTGAAATGTGTACAAAACAACAGTGCACACATCATTAAAATAAACACGTTAAAATTGTTGAGGAGTAATATTAGAATACTGCTACAAAATTGCGCTATCTTCCGAATAACAGTCCCAAATTATTGAGGCCGAAAATATACCCTAACAGGGCCTCAGTCACATGTAAATTGCGGACTACCGCCACCGCCGATCTCCCAAGCCGCAGCAGGAAAGCTTACAACACAGAAAATATAACTGGTGCGATTAAAACTACCATCAGTCTTACAATTATTATAACAAGGGAACCCTTGAGCAATCGTATATCGCTGTCATCAGGTTAATGAGGCTAAATTTATCTTTAGACTTTAGCTGTGATGTAATTTGAACTTGTTAATGAATGTTTTTCGTGGCTATCAAATTAGCAAATAATGTACTAGATAATGATAGGTTTGAAGGGATGGTGCACCATCAACCATCCACAGGCAGTCATTTGCCTGAGAGCCCACTGATACTGTGTTGAAACCAGGCAGAGGTGAAGTCTTCATAATTGACCCAGGCTTTCATGTCAACCCAACCCTAACATGTGTGCCAGGGTATATCCTGAAGCATACAATTAAAATGTCACATGTTTTATGACTTTTTAGTAAAATACACGCACCTTTTTCAAAACATGTTGACAAATCCACCACTCTTGACCATCTCTGGGAACTTTCATTTTAGCTGCAGCTTTGATTCCTCATCTCTTCCCCTAATGCATCAACTGTTGTGTTGATAAACTTTATCATAAAGTGTCGATAAACATTATCATAAAGTGTCGATAAACATTATCATAAAGTGACGATAAACTTTATCATAAAGTGTCGATAAACTTTATCATAAAGTGTCGATAAACTTTATCATAAAGTGTTGATAAACTTTATCATAAAGTGTTGATAAACTTTATTATCAAGTGACGGTAAACTTTATTATCAAGTGACGGTAAACTTTATTATCAAGTGTTGATAAACTTTATCATAAAGTGACGATAAACTTTATCATAAAAGTATGATAAACTTTATCATAGAGTATCGATAAACTTTATCATAAAGTCCTCTGATGTTGAAAGTAAGCCTCAGTCTCTGTATGAACCACTGAAATTCTACTCTCTGGGTGATAATATATAGTTAAATATTCATCATCAGTCAGCTAGTCCTTTACAGAATGTCACTTTTGTCACAGCACACCTGAAAGTCCCTCTTTCTGTAGCCAGTTCTCCAGCCCTATGTGCTTTCCATAGCCAGTGCATCTTGTCTTGTATACACCTTTGCAATCTGCCTGTGCATGATTTTCCAAAAGCTACCCTCCAGCACCATTTTCTCCAGGCACCATGATTTCAGACTTGGTGCTATTTATGATCCAATTCTCCTCAATGCTCAGATCACAGAGGATGTGGTTTTTTTTTCTACATGGTTTCCTTATCATAACAAGTCTTTATTAATAAGCTTCTTCGCCGCAGATGTAAACTCCCAATAACAGTCTGACATACTCAACTAGTTGTTGAGGCGGGGTGGAATGTTGCTCTGAAACACAGTTTTGGTGTTAACTTCTACAAGAATTAGAAAGAAAAGTCTATTGAAATGTAGTTGCATATCCTTTATAGGACATTTGTCAGAAACCTTTTTTGACCCTCATGACAGAACTGTCTTTAACAGAGTATCAAAAAGAGATCAAATTAAAAGACTGGAAAAACACTTTGTAGAAGTCGTCGACATTGACTTTATCAGCACATAAAAATACGAAACTAAGCAGTCAGTTCTTACAGACCAAACTGTCATTATTATCCATTTATTTATCACTGACTTTCCTCTCATACGATGTCCCAAAAGTACACCTGTTCACAAATACCAGTCTTTCAAAACCGTACTACATAAACAGTTCTATACTGATAACTGGGTCCATGACAACATTGAAGAACCAACCCCAGCATTTTTTTTTTTCTGTTGTGGCTTTTCTTAGCAAATTTACATTCAGTAATTTGCTATTGCTTTCCAATCGGTCGGCTTTTGATACTACAGGATTTGCTAGCTTATTGCAGTGCTCAGATGTCTTAAAGGCCAGTGTGTGAGAGTGAAAATTTAGTTGTCAAGACAATAACCATTCATATCTTTTATGATTTCCTTAAAAACAAAAACTTTTTATTGCAGTTTTTCAAACAAATTGTCCCTTTTTTTTAAATTTAGCAGCGAGGCGATAACCTTTTTACTGCTTTTAATATCAAGGGAGATGCAGAATTCAGGTTTTTGCTGGACAGCATCTTGCCAGATTTTTTCCCTGATGTATTTAACCATATCTTGTCAGGAACAGCATGTCAGAAGTGAGGTGGTCGTTTCTAAACTGTCGTTATGATTTCACCGTGTTTGTCTGCACTGTGATGTCATGTGCTTAACACTCTTGACATCCTTGACCAAAATGTTGACAGATTACAATGACATTGTTAATTTAATTTATATACAGTTTCAAGGTTTTAATTTGACTCCCTCACCTACTGTATAATTTTCACCAACTTATATTATATTATAAAGCACAAAAATCAATTCTTACAATGGGTTTTTTCTTTCTTTGTTTCCACCAGTGAGGTCAGCATGTTGTACACCATCCTCTGATTATTGCTGTGACAATGATGGAACAAGGAGCAAATATGGAGGCTAAGAGGGAACTGGATTCAGAGCTTGAGGCTGCAGTCTTGGATAATGTTGAGTTGATTCATGTTATGACTTCAGGATCAGAGACTGTTACCTTACCATTCACTTTCACCCGAGGGGGGTTGGTGTCTGTTGCGGCTGCCGGGCATAACGTATGTCCTGTTTAATGTATATGTAAGCTTTACTTTTATGAGAGCACTTTTTAAAATGACATATGCTCGTGCATGGCTTTTTGTGTATTTATTTGGGGTGAGAAAGAGTTCTATCTCTTTTAGTACCAAACAAACAATTTACAATTTATTACTAGGTCATAGGGATATTTACCTGGTGGTTCGTGGTTCAAATCTGGTCTGTTGAGACCCAGCAAGTGCCCACTGATCGTTGCCGATTGTATTGTGTTAATGATCTTTTTATGCTGGTGTTCTGGCCTGTGACAATCCCCATTTTCAAAAGGTTGGCCCCTGGGTAAACTAGTTTAACTAATAATTTTTAGGTAAAAACTGCTTGATATTGAAAGAGTTGAGAGCTATGAATCAGTCACCTTGTACAGAAGGAAATCATGAACATGAATGTTGTGAAATAATAATTTAGCAGAGATGTAGTTTTATTGTTCAATTTAGAGATCTTATTAGTTGCTTATCAGACATGACCATAAGTGTTTCGATCTCCTCCTGAGTTTGTCTCCAAGCATTTTTAGGCTAACTGCTCCTCTTCTATTCTGGTTGATGTAATGACGGGTGGCTCCTGGAGCAAGGAAAAGCATACTGCAAATATTTTGTAAGCAGTTAACTCACAAAGAGAACTAATATGTATTATTATAAATTCTCGACATTACACTAAATCCATCACCAAAGCCACCCAAGAAGCGGAAGACAAATGCAGAAAACCATGACACTGGGATACAACCTGATAGCAGTGAGACGACAAAAGAAGATGTTTAACTATATAGAAGGCTGTGGGCTGACAAGATTAGGAACAGTTAGATTTTTTCAAACATTACCTTGGTTTCCAAGGGAAGTAAAGGGGGCCAGAGTGAGTGTCGATTGGTCTATAAAAATAAGAGTCTAGCCTAATATGCCCCATTGACGTGTAAAGGGACCTTTATGAACTATAAGAAGATTGTGTTGAGTGCACAAAATGTTATCTTCAGATGGTGGTTTATATCTTTTTCCTGGTGTTTACACAATTATCCTAAAATCAAATGGTTATTTTTCTATTTAACACTGATAATAGTTTTAAAAAATCGGCAAGTGTTTCTGTTAACAGTATAATCATTACATCTTATTTGATAGACATGTGCGCTTATACAAAGCTGGACTTAAATTAGGTTTCTAAAAATACCAACATCCTGCATGATTTGAGAATATTGGAGAACTGGTTCGTAAACAGCATCCTGTCCGGAAAGCTGAGGTATTTTGGCAATGTTAATCGTCATGGTGGTCTGGAGAGAGCCGTGATAGAGGATACATTTTCTAGAAAATGAGGCTGGAGCAGACCTACCTGAAGGTGCATACAAGACATTGAGGATGGCATTGGCTGTGAAAGCACTAGAGCTAGAGAAAGAGACTTTCAAGTGTGCCGTGACGAGAGAGATGCACTGTAAAGGATGTTCTGATTGATAGTGAATTAGCATCCATAGTTTGAATACAAATGTTCGTATCAGAATAACGAGAAAAGAACAGCGTACCTAACGCCAAAGGAGTCTTGTCAGTAAAATACAAAAGAGGCACAGTTTGAAACTGAACACTGGTATATTTGTAATGTTCTCTTTGGAACAAAATACCATGTTGTGTGGAGGGGGCACATCAGGAAAGAAATGAGGATGAAGGAAGAAATTAAAGGATGAGTGTTGTGTTAAGCGTCTGAGAATGAACACACTAAACACAAATGATTTCAGTAACGGCCCTGAAATCCCATGCTATATTTCTGTAGAAGACATTCTGAACACGGGCAGGTCTTGCTAGTCACACTCACCATCACCTATGGGTTGTGAGTCCCATGCCTCCTCAAAGCACAGTATCACACAGTCGTCTCTGGAAAGGTGCCAGATGAGATGAAGGTACTAGCAATGTCTGGAATACAATTGAGGATTGTCCACAGTAATTGAACCCGGACCTTGTCAGCTAAAATAGTAATTATGTGTAAAGCACTAATGAGGTAAATACATCAAGGAACTTGACTGGCTGAGAAAATTGATAAAGATACTAAATTCTTCTTTTTTCCTCTAACAGTCTTCATGGCTTGCAAACATTTTCAAAGGAAGAAGATTGAGATGACTTTGACATGTTTGCAGAACACCTCATGACATTTTGGCAAAGACAGCTGTCTGATGGACGCCAGATGGGAAAAGAGGCAAAGAGACATGAGCGACCTGATTAAACCTGTCCGAGGACATTAGAAAGTGAAAAGGAAGAGAAGTAAAATGACATAATATGCCATAGGCAGAAAAGCAGCTCTCGAAGCCACCTGTGAATGCTAGATGTGTCAACGATGACATGAAGAAGATATAGAACAGCATTGGCCCTGGAATACAGAAAGGATTAGCATTGATTGTTATGAGTAAGAACTGACGTAACAGCACTCAAGACATTTCCTTAAGCACTCTGTCCCTATTTTTAGCAGCAGGCACAGATTGATCATCTGCATTTATCACAGTGTTATTACACAGGACTTTACCTGGTATCAATTTTGAGCCAAGGTTAATTGGGGGGGGGGGTGGCTCAGTGCAGATTCAAATCCAATTTCTTCGTGCTGGAGACTACCCATCTAGATGCTATGCCACCACGACTTCCCTGTATATCATGAGCTTGTGATGATATTCTGTCTTCTGCTAGGAGTTGCAGCACATCCAGCGCCTAGAGAAACTAAGGGAGGAGCAGCAACAAGCACAAGATAGAGTCACACAAAAGATGCAGTTTGAACAAAGATATGAGCCTTGTGTTGTGTGTGGAGACAGAGCATCTGGTATGTCACTCCATAACATCTAGGGCTGAAGCCCTTGCTCTCTCTCTCTCTCTTTCTCTCTCTCTCTCACACACACACACATTACTATTATTATAGACTCGTTTTAGCTGTGCTTGTTATTGTTTGTCTCCAATTTTTGTTTTTTCTTATAAACTTATTTCACGAGGCCGGTAGCCTTTATGAAAGCTATTGTGTAGTCCATATCTTTTCATGTACCATACAGCTAGGTCTTCATTGTGGTTGGAACAAGCCAGATTGCAGATTGAAAATATAAGACTTCATTAAAAAAAAAAAAGTAATATTAGCAACATTCAGCAACGTCAGAGTTATATTATCGTTACTGGAAAATGCACCATGTGGGTTCCATGGCCCCATTTTGGGTTAAAAAGAACAGACCCACTCCCCCAACAAATATCATGAAAGGTCAGTAATTAGAGAATTGCTGAAATTAGATGTCTTCCGCCTGCAGGCACATTTATCACAACCTAGCTGTAAATCACAAAATAACATGTTGACCGCCTTTTTAAGGGCAAATGTGGAAAATGAAGTTTAACTATACTGTATTTTCAGTTTAGTACCCTAAATATAGCGGCGTCCTTCGCTTAGGCAATCTGAGTCCGACACATAAGTCCAACGTGCTCGGAACCTGCTGCTGGCTGCGTGGTATTTTTATTATGGTATGTGGTGTCACAGGTCGATCTAGCCTCAAATAGGTACCAGGATGTATGTCCTAGGGAAGTAAAGACAGCCGGCGTAATGCAGACCACATTACCCACCTAGTGCCAAGTGGTCTGTAAAAAATATGGGTGCTCTTCCCATATGCCCTATGTGCCTAAAGGCGTGAAAAGGGATTTTTACTTTTTCTTACCCTGATTATATGTCCCCAGTATGCATTTAGTTTCATTTCTATGCACAGACCATAAGGATCTTAGTCCTTACAGACATCCTAGGATTAAAGGGCAAAATCTTATCCTTGCATTGCATATTTTATAAACGGACAAAATCTCATCCTCAGAATGCATATTTTAAAACTATTGACACTGGGATTCATTCCTTATCTTCCAGAGTTAATGAATCTGAGTTGTTGTTTTTTTTTTTAATTACTACAGCTTCTCTCTGCTTTTTGATTCAGCTGCAGATAATTTTGTATAAGATCCTCTGCTTTGATTTTGATAGTGGTATGGAATGCTGACTACTCATAGAGCAAGGGCAAACTACCGAGTAGAACCACAAACAGCTAACAGATGCTGGGGTTGGTTTGCATGTCTTGTAAAGTTTATGAAGCTAACCTTTTTCCCCCAATCATTCTCTGCTCTTGTTGACATTAAAGCACTTGTTTAGCTTTGTTGTTTAGTGTTGTATTTAGTTTCTGTCATGTAAATTTCATTTTATGTTAACATTATCTGAACTACTGCTAACAAATTTACTAATATAAAACATTGGTATTCATGTGTATTTCATTTGGGAGCAGCTGACAGCCAGAAGGGAGTTAACTTATTCAGCTAGTTATGTTCTGTTCTGCTCTGTTAGGTCGCCACTACGGAGCCATCAGCTGTGAAGGCTGTAAAGGTTTCTTCAAGCGCTCCATCAGAAAGCAGCTGAACTATGCCTGTAGGTTAGCCAAGAACTGTCAAGTAACCAAAGTGTATCGCAATAGGTGCCAGTATTGTCGACTACAAAAATGTGTGGCAGCAGGCATGAGATCTGAATGTAAGTTTTCCTTGAAGTGGTGTTCTATTTTTATTTTTTTATTTTTCCCCCCACTAAAATGATCTTATTAAAACTTATAACTATGTTACTACTAAGACTAGTTTAAAGAAAAAAGGAAGTTACCCCTTTCCTAATTCAAGCAATAACTTTAGGTATATAGATCTAGGCCACCTTTACTTCCCAGGACATTACTTCTTACTTATTTAAGGTTAACTCAGTGAGACTAGAAGAATGCTACTCCCTCTGAGACCAGACAAGTGGAACACCTAATACAGAGGAAAAGAACAGCTTGTGAAAACATGCAAATGGTGTTGGGTCAGAGGGCGAAAGCTCATGCCCCAATGGATCGATAACAACTTATTTTAGGCTGGATTGACCTGGGAGCCAATGTCATTTTTTTTTTAAATCCACTTCAAAAAAGAATTGATTCCTAGACCTTTGAGTTTGGCAGGTGGGCATCTAGCTTCTAAGCTAGTGATGTTCGCTGAGACAGATTCGTTAAAAAAGATTTTTTTTTTGTTTGTTTAAACTGACCAGCCTGTGAGTGTCAAATGGTAAGATTTATCAGAATTGACTGAACGGATCTCAACAGTTGCCCTTGCGTTTCCAGGGTCATTTAGAGACAAGGAATAGTAACACTGTAACCTGTCATTTGTGTAGTAAAAGACAGGTAAAGAGGGTTGGCACGAGACTGGCATAACATCACTTAGCTGAAAACTTCGGCTGCAAAATCATGAATATGTACAAAGTTCTGGGCCAGAGATGGTGGAGGACCGATATTATTGGCTCCTGAAGGTAGATGAAGTATTTTGTCAAAAAATTGTCATACTAAGAATTGAGTTGAACTGACATCACAGCACTAGGGGCATTCCCATAAGCGCTCCGTCCCCATCTTCAGCAGCCAGTGTTCCGATACTAATGGTACCAGTAGCAGTCTAATTAAACGTCCTCGTTGCCTTTTCTCTGAGCCTCAAGCATCTGCCAAAACCCCTCGTCACTCCCCGCTTCATCAATCTCACCAGACTGGTGATCTTTCTGCTCCTCTAAACTGTAAACGCTCTCCCACTCCTGTGACCCTTCTCAGACAATCCATGCTTACTAATTTGTTGTTTACTTGTATGAAATGTTGCTGTATTTTGCCACAGCTGTCCAGCAAGAAAGACGGACCAATGACCAGAGAGACAAAATACCAAACACAACTACTTCTACTCAGAAAATTTATATCAGAAAAGACTTCAATAGTAGTGTTTCGAAACCTGAGTATTACATACGCATCCATTTTACAAATCTGACTTATTTTGTATGCTGACTGTTGGTTTCTTGTTTCTCAAGCAGATGCACTCCTACTTCAAAGGAAGCTCCCAGTTAGTTGACTCTTTTGACATGCTTATGAGTAGGCAGTGTGTCTGTTCTTTTTCCCCTATAATAGGGCCCCAGAACCCACACGGGGAAGAGATTATTATTTGAAAACTAAAGCAGTAACACTGTATAACATTTAAAGATGTTAACTGTTTAGCAATACTGTCATATCAGGAATCTGCCGTGGTGTGTTGGCTAGACGCTCACCTGTTATCAGAAAATTATGGGTTCGAGTCCTGGCAGAGCCAGACTTTAAAAAAAAATAACCTTAGCTCTCAGTTAGACCTAGCCTTAAATAGGTACCAGATAAAGTCATGGGAAGTAAAGGTGGTCGGCCTGATGTTGATCACATCGCCAACCGAGTACCAGTTGGTCTATAAAATATAGGTCTAGCACTATCTGCCCAGTCCCCATGAAGAACTTTTTATTATCACCTCAAATATCAGGTAAAGCAAAGTGTAAAGGACCCTATGTTGTGGTCAACCTCACGCTGGCCACCTTACTTCTTAGAAATTTTACATTTAAGACTGTCAGTTTCTAAGCCAGCATTACCTTTTTTTTGTGTGTGTTAAATACAGAATCTGTCTCAGTGCAAATTCGAACCCAATACTTCTGGGCAGGCATTCGTCTAGCTGCTGAGAGATTGATAATGAAGCTGTTAATGTTTTGTAAACTTTTTTTTTTTTTTTTTGGTTGAGTTCTTGTGTGTGTGTGGAATTTTGGCCCTTTCAATCAAACAAAAAACAAGTTTGTTTGTTTTTTCTCCAATTTTTGGTTCTAATTATTGAGCACAGTGGGAGAGGAAATGTGAAGACGTAATATGGACTTATATATGCTGCTTAAAGATGGATACGTTTGACTGGTTTTGTTTTTAAAAACTCATTTGGTCGCTACAAACGGTGAATTTATTTGTTTTCCTTTGTATCTTAACTGTTTTGCCCTTGACAGGCTCAAGAATTGGGTCATAAACGGGTGGGAATTTCTGAAAAATCTTTTAAAAAATGTTTAAATATGTAGCTGATAAATTTATTTATCTACCTTTTAAAAAAATGTTTCGAAATATATAGATATGTCAAAGAAATAATTTATAGAAGCCTGTCCTTTAGGGATCATGTGAAGGCAACTGCTGTGAAATGTTAAAGACTTAATGATCTCGAAATTATAGCAGCAATGAACATTGAACAAAAAATGCTGTTTACAGTGTTCCAGCATGTGATCCTGTCTGTGATAGATTATGGTCTTGGAATGCTTACCATGTCAAAGAGTCAGCTGACGAAACTTGAACCAATAGAGAATGAAGCTGGCAGGTTCTGCACCATGGTGAACTGATGTATGACAGGTAGTTCTGGGATGTACAAGAGAAGTTCACACATGTCACCAAGCTCATCAGCCAACACAGGTAGTTGAGAGTTTACATTTCTCTTGTATGTCTTTATTTCATTGCATGTTTTGTGTCTTAGTACAGCGTCTCCCTTAGTCCTTCCTGCTGACAGCTTATTCTAGTCAGAATTTTTTTTCTGAAATACTGTAAAATTTTACGCACACTGTGAAAAAATATATACATACGAATGAGTTGGCAGTTACAGTCATGACATGTGAACACTTTGTAATCTATAGTTATATTTGCCCATAAATTAATTTATACTTTTTTTTTGTAAAGGTCATAAGAAGGGAACCTAACAGCATTGAGCAGAGAAACACAGTTAATAGATAGATAAGAATGTTAATGACACACAGGGAAATTAAAATGGAGAGGGGAGGCTGAAAACACATAGAGAAAATTTTGAAAGATGAATTATATTTAGAGATCATTGGGGAGGGGGAGGTGGGGGGTAATTGCATGAGACAACAAAGTATGTAATGGTTTTAATTTAGCTGATTGAGGAATAAAAGGCTGAAAATTTGAAATATTTCAACCACATATAAAAGACGTAACACTTTTTGTAAACCATACTGGAGAAGGAAGTCAATAGCAAGAGATGAACAGTGATACAAATGTAGCAACAATAACAAGAGGTAGACAACAGCAGTTTGAGATAATATAGTACCAGCACAAGAGACAGTGTGAGTTGGAGACTGATTGTACTAACCACGACCGGCTTCCACTGACCAGCCATGCTGGTGACGTCACCAGGTCGGTCTAACAATGCGTTAACACAGCTGTTCTCAAACAAGAAATTAACTATTTTCAACAGTGGCAAAGAAAAACAACTTAAATTATAACTTTTAAATATCTACATGCCTTTTTTAAAAATTTCACAATTTTTAGCCGGCTTTTCTTGATTTTTGCTGCGGCACTCCTGGCATAGGTTCACGGCACCCAGTTTGAGAACTGTTGCGTTAACGCATCGTTAACCCGACCTGGTGATGTCAGCAGCATGGCCCATCAGCTGAAGCCAGTCAGGTACCAACCCGCCTTGTGGAGATGACACCTGATTGATTGAAAAAAAAAAAAGAAGAAAACTCTGAAGGTAGACTAAGAACATCCACTGCTGCCTCAAAGAAATAGATGAATCTGTATAATCTGTGCAAAACTAGATTCAGTAATTGAAAATGCCATGTTATGAAAATGTTACAACAGTTACAGCATCCTCTTTCCTTTAGATCTGTCCACACTTGCCAGTGTTGTGACAACTTTAGCAACAATGGGCAAGGAGGAGATCCTGTTGGATGACTTTTCTGGCCACCAGTCATCTTCACCATCCCAGAATAATGATGTCAATCATTACACACAGGAGGCAGCGGTGAAAGCTTTTGAAGCGTTAACCAAATCTGCACACAGTTCACAAAGTCGAGTGAGTGATTTTAAAAAAAAATTAAATACACTTTTGTTAGCATGGCATGTGCCTCTACCTTATGGGTTTTTCCACATAACTTTTTATTCATTGATTGGTCACAATCTATCTATTCTGGTACCAGTTACGAATGTAAAGATGCGCCTGAGGTTTCAGCAGTCTCACACAATTTGTTTTGCTGCTCCTCTGAGCCAGATGTCCATTTCTTCACCCGGTGCTCTGTAGCTAAAATTGCAGCATCTGAGATCCATTAAGGGAATGTATAAATGTCAAAAGTTTCCTGTTCTGCATCATGGTGGCTTGGAAAAGATTTGTGAATGAGGGTGCAGTTTGTGGAAAGCGAGGCAGGGGTGGACCACTGCAAAGATGGATACAGGACATTGAAGATGCTTTGACATTGAAAGCACATGACGCAGGAGAGCTGGCTAGGGGGAGGGATACTTTCAGGCCTGCCGTGCGAAGAGCGACATTCTGTAAAGGACTTGCTGATTGATGATGATGATCCTGTTCTTCTTCTTCTTCTTCTTCGCGTTCACCAGCTGTACACTCTGGCGGAAAGTTCTGGTTGCTCGTCCACTACTGAACTGCAGTCCTGCTCCAAAACCTGAGTGTTGCATGTGCATCAGTTTTACAGATCTCATTCTCTTGAATACAGACTGTTGGTTCCTTGCCTCTCTGGAAGATGCACTCCAACTTCAAAGGAAGCTCCCCAATTAGTCGACTCTTACGACATGCTTTTGGGGAGGCAATGGGTCTATTCTTGTTTTCCCCCACAATGGGGCCCCAGAACCCACACGGGGGGATCCTGTTCTAAGTCTAAAGATCTTGTATATCTGGTTCCTGCCTGCTTCTTTTTATCTATTTTTTCTTCATGTACATCGGCTGTAAATTTGGGCAGAAAGTTCTGGTTGTTTGTTCTGGTTCTCTCTTTTTTATTTCTTTCAGTCACTCCAGAATTATTTTTTATTTTTTTTTTTATTTTGTTTTGTTCCTGTGAAATCCAACTAGGAAACTGGATTTCAAGCATCTGGTTCAAAAGTAAATCTATATTTTTGTGTTGCTGGTATTTTTAGTCAGTGCCATTGTTCACGTCTGGTATGATTGTAACATTTTTCTTAGGTTCTATTCATTCATATTTCACAGTGTGTGCGTGTAAATTGCATCTCCTGTTTCACTGAATAATTGTTGATTTGTGCCTTCCACAACCCCACCCACACACGTGTGGACACAGGCACACCACCAGCTATTTTCAGCAGCTGTTCCACAACTCTTAGCTTTTAGGACTCTGGATTGCTGCATTGAATTGACTAGTTGTCTTGTCTTGTATTCGTTGCTTTCTACAGTGGTACCTCCGTATACATCTGCTTTTTAATAAGTTCAGCTTGGTATACCTCCTGTTTAGACAAACATTTTTTTCTGGGTATACAACCTTTGTTTAAAATATGAATCTTTTCTCCAGGCTATGGCAGCATGGTGGGTAATGAACAGCAGACAGATTGGCTGGATCTGCACCACTTGATGGTGAATTGATACATGACAAGGCAGATGTGGTCAAGGCTCTTTGGGAACAAACAACGGAATCATTAGAGAAAGAAGATTACTATGGCCTGGGGAGAATGAGGCACCTGGGTGGGACCATATTGTCTGGCCGGCTCAATACACTCAGAGGAAAGGCAAGAGGGACATATAACTAGATTGTGACTGGTACCATCAGTATTGGAACTCTGTGATGGCTGCTGAAGATAAGGACAGAGCTTGCATGGGAATGCCCTGAGTGCTGTTATGTCAGTTCTTGACTCAACTCAGCTGTTTGGAATACGACTCGCCTGCTAGAGCTTGTGGACCTCAACCAGGTCCAACCAGGGAAAAGAGAGAAAAAGAGAGAGAGAGAAAAGAACACACAATTTCACATTTTTGGTTTTATTGTAAAGGGCTCCCTTACCAAACAATAACATCTCCTCCTCCCTTTGCACAGGATATAAGTGACATCTTTGGTAGGAAAGTGCACAAGGCGGGAAATCTGGCGAGAGACTGAGTGTCTTTCAGGCACACTGAAATGAGGGACATTGTGCAAAGTGGTGATGATGATGATAGTCTGTACAAGCCTGGTGAGAACATACTAGTGATTTAAAAGTGTTTTTTATCAAGACTGTTATTGCTTCTGTTGCAGGGTAGTGCTGTGTATGAACAGGTGGAGTCAAGTTTTGAACAGACAGTCAACAGTGATGGAGAAAGTTCTCTTCTGGTAGAAACACAAGGTGGGTCATTTAGTTATGGATTCATCACAACTATAGTCCCATTAACACATGTCATTAAGTCCCCAGTTGTTGTTGACTGCCTCTGTCAATAAACTGCAATCAACGTTTCTATGTTTGAGATCTGTTCTGTCAGCCAAATTCTGTGTCCTTGTCTTTCTTGGATGGAAAAAATGGACACCTGGAGATGATTGGACTCTGTAGAGTTACATTACTGCCCTAGACACACATCATGTTGACTGATAAATCACAGATATGATCCCTTTCAGTTTCAAGGAAGGTATAATGTTTGACTAGTTGTTGCCTATGTGTATTAAGCTACAGACTCTATTAATGTTTGTGTATCCTTTATGTTTGGTCTGAATATTCCACCGAAAAATGATATTTTAATTTTGACATGTTCCATTTATGTCTGTTCATCATTGAAACTAATACACTGATGTTTTTTCTCATTGTTCTTCTTGGATGTCTGCTGTTGAAACTCCTGGACCTGAAAGAGTTATGTAGCTTGAATCTCATTAAATTTTACTGACAAAGACCATTATGTTCTCAGCATTAGGTAAACACTCATTTGAATTCTGAGTTTTTCCTGAAACACACCTACTAAACAGTTTAGGGTCAGGCAGCTTTTCATAAATTGGCAAAATATATTTCTTTAGCTTATCACAGTTAAACCATCTGTGTAACATCTTATCATGAGGACCCGGGGACTGATGCTTAGCCAGGGTGGCCTCTCTCCACTTGGGCACATTTTATGGCGTGGAGTTTTGTCTGTTGAAAAACAATGATACAGTGAAGCCATAACACTGTTCCTCGTGAACTCTACACTTGTGTTGTTCCTTATTGCTCTGTTGTGATAAATTGTCAGCTTACGGATGGCCACCTAGGGCCACGCTTTGCTTTCGGCAGTCAACAACAACATTAAGGAGTGCTGTTCCATGGCATTTACTGATATGGTTTATGCATTCCTTTTTGTCTGGGTGAATGTCCTTGTTTGATCTTGGTAAACACATGTTTTGGCATCACCAGAAGAAAGTATTGATGTTTAACGAAGCTTATGACGGGCCACAGACCGCAGCCACATCACTCACGCAGCCACCACCTCTATCATTCCAGCAGATCCTGTGAAATTATTATCAGTTTGGAAGATGGTCTGTCTTCAGTCCTTCAAATTCAGCTGGTTTAGATTTGGAAACTCTTACCAGTGGTTTCACACACTTGACAATATGTGGACATAACATGCACATCTATGCAAAGTCCAGTAAATACATCCACTGTCCAGCCAACCCCAGTGTAGGATGTGTGGTCTCTCGTCAACCAAGTACCATCAAAGCTGACAGTAATATCCAGCACATCATTGTCATGTAGAGTGATGCCTGCCTGCTGTGCATGAACTTGCCCAACATACTTCACGATTTCAGAAGAAATAAAAACCTTGTCCTCCAGATCTTCTAACTCAGAATATAATTTATTTGCAATGTTGTGAAATATTTTGTGCAGGTTCATATTTTCACAAAAATTATTGAACGTGGTGGCACCCATTCCACAAACTGATGCAGAATAAACAGACTGGTTGTAGATGGCAACAGATTTATCCCCATCATTACTTCTTAAAGCTAAGTACCTTCTACAAACTACTTCTTCACAACAGCAGTAAACTTCTGCATTCACAGCTATTCCTGGAGTTTTCTTGCTTTCAGTTTTAAAAATAAGACAAGTATTTTTACATACTTGACAACACATATCTTTGATGATTTCATCAATTTCTGAAAAGTCAACCACTCCTCTGTTTTTGTGTGTGTCCATTATTATCAGCAGAAACACACATGCTGCTGCAGAAGATCATATATTCATACAAATCTCTTTAACTGGCTTCAGGCATTTTCTGCAAGAACAGTGTCACTTCCACAGCTTTGAGAACTAGAACATGACGGTACAGAAACATTGACTGCCAACATTCCAGCGTCGCTAGGTCCAAGCATGTTAGCTGGGTCGCAATCTGAATTTTCTGTAATGTTAGCGACGTTCTGATAGACCTTTTGCCAATTGTAGACTTCGATATTTCTTACGTTGATCGGCTAAGTGAAGTTTAAATTTATTGGAACGAGGCATTTTTCAAAATCAACAGCAGCCTTTACATCGCACCGTAAACAAACGGTCACAGCAGCCATCTTTGAGAATCGTATACCCACATTTTCAGCCAGCAGGAATCGCTCTTAGTAAGTGATCCCCATATCCGAGCTGTAATACTGGTCAGTGAATGGAAAACTTGAAATACCAGGATCACGATTCCTGCCAGACAATGCATTGGACCTAATTATGCTTACAATGGTATATAATATATATGGTGGTCTCCTTGTGGAAATGGTGTTGCCAAGATGCGAATAACGGCAATTTCATAACAAATAATTTCACAGCTAGGGTTAGCTCAGTAAAATATTATTGCATTAAAATAATATATTTTAGACAAAAACAAATTCTGAATCTAACAGAAGACATACTAAGGAGTGTAAAAACAAACTTTTCAAAAAAGAAATCGTCGACCTGACCCAAATTCATTGTTTGGAACACCTGCACATTGCCTTAATATTTCAATATAATAAAATGTTCAATTTAATTTCTTGAAAATATGTATTTTTGTCTATGTGTCCAGACTTTAGGGACTGGATTGACTTCTGTTTGATAGTGTAAGGCAGGCTGGTTACTCAGATTGTCATAGGTCATGTTGTAATCTCATCTCATTGTGTACCATACAGGTCCATTGCTAACAGAGAGCGATTTTGCCTTCATATTAACTGCGCCTTCACCCATGCCTTCATATTTAAACATCCACTACATTTGTGAAAGTGCTTCACGGCTGCTGTTTCTGTCGATGCACTGGACACGATCCATCACAGCTTTTCGTGATCTCAGGTGAGTTGTTGGGGGAGTCGTATATTGAAGCTGTGTCAAAGACTGTCTAGAGTTTGATTTGCCTGGCTGGGAGAAGATGATGTATTGGCAATTGTCAATGATGCTGTGTCGGGATGTTCTTTGTCTATCACCAGTGATGAAGACCACTTTCATCCAAAGTAGTAATGATCAGTGATTATGAGTACGAAGGTGGCTGATTAGTCCAATATGAGTCTGGAAAGTTCTTCAGCAGTGCGGACAACAGATGAAAGCTGCAGTAAGTGGGATTAGCAGTACGATTCTTTTTAGTCTGCCTCCGTTTCTCTGCCTGTGCAACTTCTGCTGCCTGGCAGGCCGATGCACCATGCCTGAGGGGCGTACGCCATCCATAATGGTCTTGGGCAGCAGCCTCCCACGTCGCTGTGTTGATGCCAAAAGAATTAAGAGCAGTCTTGAGAGTGTCATAGCACTTTTTCTGCCCTCCCTGTGACCTCTTCCCTTGCTGGAGCTCGCCATAACATACTCTCTTTAGGATGCGATATTCTGGCATGCGGGTTAGGTGACCAACCCACAGCAGCTGATGTATGTAGTGCAGCAAAACCATTGTGTGAATTTTGCTAGAAAGTTTTGGTTGTGGGTTATTTTAGCTGCCTTTACCGTGATGTTTCAGGCGAGCCGTGATTGTTACTGTCACCCTTCTTTTTTTTCAAAGGCTAATGTTATATTGTGCTATTGGTAGGTGTGGATATCACAGTCCATAATGATGGTGAATGTTGTTGTTTGTTTGCATTCACCAGCTGTAAACCCTGGCGGAAAGACCTGGTTGTTTATCCTTTGGCTTTGTTCCAGGACCTGAGTTTTGTGTGTGCATCCATTTTACTGATCTTGCTTATTTTTATTGGTTCCTTGCCTCTCAGGTGGATGTTTCCCAATTTGAAGGAAACCTCCAGTTAGTTGACTTTTGGGACATGCTAGTTTGGGAGGCAGTGGGTCTTTTCTTGTTTTCCCCCACAATGGGACCCCAGATCCCACACTGGGAGATGGCAAGTGTGACTGGCAAGCTCCGCTTAGGTTAACAAATATCTCCACATTTAGTACATGCGATTTAAGGACCATTATTACTATTGCATTTATTGAACTTGTTTCTTCTTGTAATGAGTGGGAAAGCCCATGAGTAATGTAGATTCCCCAGGGTCACAAGTTAAGGATCAAGGACTAGTTAAGTTTGGGAAACATGTACAAAGTAAGCTGGTAATTTCCGACGTACGAGGGAAGGATTGGAGGAAGAAACCCATGGATTGGAAGAAAGGATTGGAGGTGAGGTAGTAGGTATGACCAGTTGGTGTTTGACAGCGTGAGAGATAAGTTGAGTTGAGTGAAAGGAGTGTTTGCGGTGAACCGTGATTGCTGACAGTGGGATCAAGTACCTGGAATGCAGTGAAGATGGCCGAAGCAAGAGTGACCCTGTGTTGAACAATCGAGTAGCCGTGAATGCTTGTTGTGCTGCGCCTCAGAGACAAGATACCAATATGAATGGAACATCCAGAGTACAAGGTAACTGACGGATTTGAGAGTTGTAGTCCTGAAGTAGTGGCAGTTGTGACAGATTCCTAAATAAATCAGTGATGACCAAAGACAGCAACGAGACGAAGCAATTGTTGGAATAGCAGTAAACAGTTTCCTCGTCAATCGGTTTGTCATTGCAGTGTGTTTCCTACAAACGTAACCAGTTGGGAGAGGAGAAATCAAAGCCCTTCCCCCTCTCGCAATGTGTTCCACAGCATTATGTTCCCACAAATATATCTCAATACCTGTGCCATTCATACCAAGCTTTGACCGCATATTTTTTTCGTAGCAGAGGCGGACCTTGACATTTTCTACCCATCTGTAATTCACCATATAGGATGTTCTTCGGGACTCTGCTGTCCTGCATATTCCAAGTGTGACCTATCATCCGAGCCTTCCAACAGTAGGCATTGAGAAAACTGTTTTGATGCCTGCTCTTTCCAGTACCTCACTGTTTTCACAGACAGTATCATATTCTGTGATGCATCTATCATAGCCTTTGGTACGTCTGTGTCCGCTACATGTGTGGTGTTCATGGTCATCCTACAGGATCTCAATTGTGGTTCGATTTTACAAATGTAACATTTTGGTGTGTGTGTGTATGTTTGTGCTTATTCCCCTTTGGGATTGCTACCTATGGTTTGATACCCAGCAGTTCAGAGAGTCACTTTCTGAATGGCTGTCCAACAGGAGCACATCCCTCCTAGACACTTTGTTCAGTCATAAAATAAAAAAGGCTCAGGTGGCTAGGTCTCACCTGAAGAATGGAGGATGGCAGAGTCCCTAAGAACATCCTCTGTGGTGAAGTAAAGACGGGTAGAAGATGTCAAGGCCGACCTCTACTAGGATATAAAGATATATGCAAGCGGAACATGAATGATACATGTGTTGAGGTGGACTCATGGGGGAAAAATGCCATGGACCATGTTTTGTTGAGGGGGCACATCAGGAAGCAAATGAGAATGAAAGAAGAATTAATTGATTGCAGAAAGGATGAGAGCTGAGCGTCTGAGGAAAAAAACAGACTACAGATGTTGACAACAGCGGTCCTGAAATCCCATGATATAATTGTGGAATGCTTTTCCTAACGGGGGCGGGTCTTGCTAGTCACACTCGCCATCACCATGGGCTGTGAGTCCCATGCCTCCTCATAGCGCAATATGTCATCTGGAAAGACGGAAAGGTGCCGGTCATCATCATCATCATCACTGGGGCATCCTACAGGTGCACAATGTAACCTGCTGTCCATTTAAACACAGTGCTGTAACTTGTGAATGTGTTTCTTCCATATCCCAGTGTTGATCTGCAGACTGTTCTAGTGCGGTCCTGCTGGAGTGAGTTATTCACTTTGGGTCTGGCCCAGTGTTCGGCAACAATGTGTTTGCCCACTATGCTGGCTGCCATTTTGAATCATCTACAAGGTAGCCTACAACAGGGAGGTGAGAATTAAGCATTTGTTTTTAAAAAAAAGTATCTGTTCATGTAGAATCCAAAGTAGCAGTGTCATTTTTAAGTTATAGAAATAAAGCAGTGTTATTCTTTATTTAGGAAAATGTTGCGTTCTTCTTGTCGATAGAGGGAGAAAGAATTTACCATTTGGTGGGCAAATGATCTTCTATAATCCATGCCGTGGGGCGTTGGTAGTCATGTCTTTCTGTAACCTGCTGTCTCATGTACTTTCAGTCAGTTTTGACACAAACGATCATCCATGCCATCATGTCAAACTGTCCAGCATCTTCTATGGGTCTCCCTCTTCATTTGTATTCACCACCTGCTTTCCCACCATTACCATGTAATCTAGCTTTCTGCTTCACATCACATGACCAAAGAATGAAGATTGTCTCTTTCTGATGTGGCCAGTTTATGTCATAACATCTTCATCGCTCTTTTTATCAGTTCAGAGTATTCTGATCATTTATCTATAAAACCACACCTCCCCCGCTTCCAGATAATTTGCTCTAATCTTCCATCTGTCCGTGATGCACTTCCATATATCAAGATTCAGATTATGTAGAACAAAGTTGACAAAGAAATATTGCATAGGATATCTTCGTTTTGTAAAATGGTGCCCTTTGCTTGAGTTATTCAACATTTTTTGGGGTTGCGTGGTCTTGAGGCATGGCATCCACCTCGAGGGCTGGAGTCCCGGGTTCAGACCACCGTGAAGGGTGGGATTTTTTAAATGTGGACTTTCATTAATTTTCCCTGGTTTCTGGGTGGTGAGATCAGACCCCGCGTATATTGTTGCACACGTAAAAAATCCCTTGGCAGTTGGAAATCGAAAAGAGTAGCCTAACAGCGCTGCCTGGGCTAAGTTTTGAGTTTAACCTCTACCCAAAGTATTTCAGGATCCTCGCTGGTGCAACGGAGTTTGTGAACTGCGCTGAGCTGCTTCAAACTCAGGCTGGACTTAGAAGTAGAACGGAGCACTTATGGGCTACACCCGTATGCCATGATAATGATCCGTTGAATAAACTAAAAAACCAATTCTACATTTAACGTTTTGAATACATCTTCCATGATATCATTTACACCAACAAAAAACTCAACTTTAGAATCCTCTTTGTGATCTAATATTTATAAATTATCAGTTCTTCAGAATAACTAGTAACAGATATGAGTCTTCGACAGACTTCAAAAATCAGATTTTATAGGTTTTAACTAATTGGGACCCACTGACTTCAATTATTCAATTATAGTATTTAAATTCTTTGACAAGGTAGCGATGGACTTGCTTTCAGCTTCACTGTTTCATAAATGATTAATCATCATCATTAATTTCCACTTTTGCTGTGAAGTGTCGTGGAAAGGAACCATTTGCAATTTATAGCTTAATAAGTATCAATGGCTATTATTATTGCGTGTCTATATAGAAGTAATGCCATCAATCCATATTCTCATAGGGTGACCTCTTGCTTTCGCATTAGATTTTTCCTTGTGTAATGCCTGTGTTGGAACTTGTTCTTGCATCGTTCTTACTAGATGTCCATACCATCTGATCTTCTGTTTCTGGTCCTGTTCACGATTCCCGGCCAATCTACACACTGTCTGACCTTTCATTCATACTTTCTTGGACTCTTCTACACTTGTGGGGGGGGGGGGGGGCACGTTGTCTTGCCTCCAATTACATCAACGCCGATGTCATGTGTTCTAGACTTCACGATGAAACAGCTTTCAACAACACCAAAACATCTAGAACTGGCGCTAACCTAAACCCCCCTAACCACAGCCTGAGCAAGTGCTCTGCCAACAGTACGGACAGCTAATAAGAAACGGTCTGCCTGTGTCACTGTCCACACAGAACTCCATAGCTACAGCAACGTTCCTCCATTTACCTCAGAGTGTTAACTCTGGTGCCCATTTCCTAGAGGCTGGGTGAACCCCGGGAACCGTCCGGTTTCGAACACCGGCCGTGGGCTGCAGCGAGTCGCAGCTGGATTTAAAAGCGACTCTCCTATCAACTGCGTTAACGGGGCTCCCAAAAATGTCACATGTGTTTTAAGTGGGTTGGCCTTTGATAATATCCATGTTTGATACTGATATGAATATGCTGTTAATAATCTGTTTCTTGATGGTCATACTTATGTTTGGATATCTTAAAAAATGTCAGTTGGTATATAAGTGCACTGGCTTATTGGCATTTTGTTTTTATTTCCATATCTATTCTCCCATCCTTTATGAATATACTTCCTAGATATTTAAATTATTTAACTTGAAAAAGAATCATCGCCGGAACTAGGGTGTGTGTGCTCTGTGCTTGATATCATCTTCAGGGGGGTAACAGACAGTGTGGGAAGAGGAGAAGATGAGGAAATGGAGAGGGGGGCAGATGAAATGCATGGGGGTTCATAGTAAAAGCAAATGGACGTCACTTAGTGCAACAAAGTCTGGAGGTGGATGCAGTAACTGCTGCTTTTAATTCAGCATTCTATAACTTGCTTTAAACAAGTACCGTTCAACCAAGCCCTAAATGTATCAGAGTAGGACTGATTTATAGAGCCGTAAGTGCAAACTGTTGGCAGTAATCTTGGATTGGTTTTCTTCTGTATGTGTGCTTGACCTTACAGTGTTTTGATCACCTCTTTGCAGCTGCTGCATTATTTATTTCTTACAAGGGGTAACTGAAAAATTTTTGGGGAAAGGTGTAAGTGCACATAGAAATATAGAAATGAACTAATTCTTTGTATGCAAGTATGATTTTTGTTTGTAATCAAATCTTTGAATTTGATTTTTTTTTTTTATTCTAATTAACAATTTTAGATTGTTCACTTATTGTTCTATTTTTCTGTACTTATAATATGAAGGGAAGTCAATAAGTAAGTTAAAAATTTGTTGTTTAAAAAACAACTTAGGGGGATAAGAACATGAAAACTGTTTATTTTTACACATACACTGTTCCTTTATTTTTTTAACATAATCTCCACCAACATTGATGCACTTGTCTTATCGTTTTATTAGTCCTCCCAAACCTGCTGCTTAGAACTGCATGTTCTGTTTTCTAAACCACATTTTCACTTCACATTCAACTTCGAGGTCATTCGTGAAACGTCTATAGCCAAAAATTTCAATCTGTCCTGCATTATGTTATATACTGAACCATGTAAGCACCCTATTGCAGCTGCTACAGAGTCAACCGTTAATCGCCTGTCACTTCTAATCATCTCCACTCGCTGCATGAATGCGTCTGTTCCAGTCTCAACATGACGACCAGATCGGACTTCATCAACAATTTTAGAGCACCCTTGAGAAAAAATGTGTTTACCCAGCTATACACTGCTTTACAGGTTAAATTTATAAGAATAGACAGGAAGCATTTCCTTATGAATGTCCTTTGCAGGCAGCCCATTTGGTCCCCCCCCCTCCCCCCAATTAGCATGCAACACCTAGCGTCACCTAACAATCAGAGATATAAACTTTGATGTTGCTGTCACTTAATAACAGTTTTTGAAACCACCAGCAACATTTTCCTACCATCCCATAACCATTTGTGACTTACTTATTAACTTCCTTTCGTATGTGTTTTCAGATCACACAAATCAAGACAAAGTAAAGAATGTTATTGAACATATCATTCGGCTCCAGGACTATGTCACACATACCCAGAGCCTGAACATCTCAGATGCAGAATTTGCCTACCTGAAAACATTAGTTCTCTTTGCACCTGGTCAGTATGTTTTAATGTTAGCCTTTTCAGGCTTGATCGCAGACACTTGTTTGACTGTGTCTTAATTATAACTATGTCACTAACACTGTCATTTTGTTGAATCCCCTCTGGGTTCCAGGTTCCATTCTGGAGAACAAAGAATAGTCCACCAAAGCATTTCATTAGGGCATCTAATTAGGGATGTTCATTTGGAGAGCATCTGCCAGAGAGGCAGGGAACCAACAGTCTGCATTTAAATAAGCCAAATCTTTAACACGGATGTGCATGCAAAACTCAAGTTCTGGGTCAGGGCCAAAGTCCAGGAATGGACAAACACCCAGAACTTTCTGCCCGAGTTTATAACTGTTGAAAGCTAGGGAGAGGAAGAAGGAATATATCTTCTTTATAAATATTTTCATTTAAATTACTAAATTATTTTTCTTGAATTGTTAGTTGTGACATGGTGCCTGTGAAATGAAAACCTGTGATTGCATTTAGATGTTCATTTTCTTATGATCTTGTCTTCTTTGGATACATTATTATCTTTCAGGATGCTTTTTTGTCCTAAGGCAGTCTTTCCCAAACTTTTCTTGGTTATTTTTTTTTTTTTTTTTACAATTAAAAATTGTCCGCGGCGCTCTAGCCTAAGTGAAAGTATGACTACTTCGTGTCTTGGTTAAATTAATTATAATGCTTTTGAACAGTTTGGGAATCACTGTCCTAAGGTATAGTCTGTTGCAGAAATTGCGCCTAACTTTACAAACCTGTAACTCAGTAATCATTTAGTGTCAGTTGTTAAAATTTGGCATGAACCTGTTAATAATCATGTCCTTGTGAATTATTTTTTTTATTCCAACAAACATCTAGTTTTAATTTGCCTTATTATTAGTATATAGAAAGCCAGACACCGATTGTGAAAGATTGTAGCACTTACATCAAGACAACACTTGATAAAGGAAATTCTCACATTTATTTGATTGAAACCGGGAAGGCTAAGCTGGTCAACAAATGCCTGCAGAAGGTGGAAGTGTCGGCTGGAAGGCGCAAATACCGCAGCCATGCTGTAAAGGGCAAAACTCAATTACATCTTCCGATAAAAGAAGGAGGAGGAGATTTGAATAAAAACAGCGGCATGAACGCTGACATACTATTCTGTCACCGTTATGTTGCAATTTTGTCATGGCTGTGGGTTCAAAGACATAATTTGAGACCACTTCTCTGTTATAAAATTCTCCAACGTTCATACTACTACCACATCCACTTTTGTCACTCAACACATTTCAGAATATATTGTATATGACACATTCTCCCCTTTGAGTTCAAGGGCTCCATTTTGGAGAACAAAGAATAGACCCACTGCCCCTCCTCCTTAGTCAACTCTTACAACATGCTTTTTGGGTACGCAGTGGGTCTATTCTTTTTTTCCCCACAATGGGGCTCCGGGACCCACACAGTGATTTTTATTTATTTTAAATATGAAAATATATACACAGTTCACTTTTTGACAGCGACAAAAAGGATAAAATTCTGAATTTTTTTCCACAGATAATCCAAACGTTAGAGACAAGAACCTGATAAGCCATCTTCAGGAAAGAGCACGCCGGGAACTCATGCAGGCGTGCTGCTCACCTGGGAGTTCTGAGAGGGTATCTCAGCTTCTTCTTCGACTAGTCCCACTAAAAACCTTTGTACCCGCCATCTTAGAAGAGTTATTCTTTGCAGCGCTGACAGGCTCTGTGCAGATTGACAATATAATCCCGTACATTCTCCGCATGGAGACCGCTGAATACAACCTTCAGATGACTGGCCAGACTGGAGCTGCTGCAGTTGCTGGCATCTCTGGGGTTATGGGAGTTCCTGCCCTGCATGACCCCGATTCCCAAAACCAGCCAGGGAGTGTTCAGATAGTTCTAGATTCTCAACAGGATGGCTCTTATGGGTGCTCTGGAGGTGCAGAGGTAGTTACAATGAACAGCGAAGATGTCGGAGTATCACCAACTTCTTGGAGTAACTCTAATTGTGAGGTGGCACATGTCATGACTACCAGCTCTGGTGGCCTATGTATGCAACGAACTTCTTTGTCGGATTCCAATCAGGTGTATACTATCTATAATGATGTTGTTTCCACCGCTCAGATACACAGTTCAGCTTCGGCCACCACCTGAGGTGATGTTGTATTCTAGTGTAAAAAGACTGATAGCTGTTTGATAAGATGTATGATATAAGTAGGACCTGCATTAAAACCTTATCAGATGGAGACATATTATCTAGAATAGGCCTTGAAAATATTTGAAGTCTGGTTCCAGTCAGGTGAATACATGTATAAAGTGTATGATGTTCCAGTCAGGTGAATACATGTATAAAGTGTATGATGTTCCAGTCAGGTGAATACATGTATAAAGTGTATGATGTTCCAGTCAGGTGAATACATGCATAAAGTGTATGATGTTCCAGTCAGGTGAATACATGCATAAAGTGTATGATGTTCCAGTCAGGTGAATACATGTATAAAGTGTATGATGTTCCAGTCAGGTGAATACATGTATAAAGTGTATGATGTTCCAGTCAGGTGAATACATGCATAAAGTGTATGATGTTCCAGTCAGGTGAATACATGCATAAAGTGTATGATGTTCCAGTCAGGTGAATACATGTATAAAGTGTATGATGAAAGCTGGAAATAGGACCTGCAGCAAAACCTTACCAAATGGACACACATTATCTAGAATAGGCAGTGGTGAATAGGCCTTGATAAACATTTGAAGTTCGATTCCAGTAGGCTGTGTATACATGTATAACGACGTTCTCTCCGTCCCTCAAATACACAGCTCAGCTTCAGCCAGGACCTGAAATGTCGCTGTTGTATTCTAGTGAAACAGGGGACAGACAGTCGTATGATAATGTGTATGACAAAAGCCGGAAATAGGACCTGCAGCAAAACCTTATCCGATGGAGACATGATCCAGAATAGGCAGTGATGCTCAACGCCAAGGAAGATTTCATGTACCTTCTTCGGCTTCAGTAAAAAAAATATATCTGCTGTAATGCTCACAAGAGAAATGTTCGAGCACAGATAGGGTGTTCAAGTGCCAATTAACTGTGTATTTAAAAGTATCCTTCTGTGAATGTTGACTATGATATGAAGTGTCCTTTTAAAGATTCCTGTAGTTGCATTAACCCAAGTGTTCTTTTAGTCAAATCCTGTCTGCTATGTTTGTTTCAAATATTTGTCATCATACACCCAAAGGTAGAAGTCAAGTAGCAAAGTAATGGTGCGTTTCTCAGTTTGAGATCATGTCATTAACATCATTACCACTTACTGTTGTCAGATCTCTGTCAGTCCCGGTCGGTCATTGCTTACATTATTTTCCATAAATAAGTTCTGCCTTAAACCAGCCATTGTTGTTTAGATCTAAAGGAGTTGAAGTATTAACAGTATAAGACCCTGAATGAGAGCCAACAGGCAGTCCCATGTACAGGGTGAGATGTAGGCAGACTCATGATAAGTACCGTCTCCTGTACTGGAGTCAGCCTGAACTTGGTGAGAGTAAAAGCAGCAGAGGATTGACTACAATCTGTACAATTCTTTGATTTTTTGCTGCATCTCTATTCCTTTATTGCTGTTTCTACTCCTCACTAGAATGTACTGACATCTTTTGCAAAAGATTTTGTGACCGAGCCTCCGTCTGACACACGATGGTCAGCATGTTGTGATGCTGTGCAGGCTCTTTGTGGGGGTTTTGGTCAATTAAAACATGCCCTGGATTCTCTTTCAGCTGACAATGAACAGCTGGTGAATATACAAGGAGACAAGCAGAAGAAAAAAAAAATAACAAGGGCAACAGTTTTCTCACAGTTCTTTGAATTGACATGCTAGAAAGAATGAATAAAACAAGCCATGTCATACAATCAAAGGATGTAAACATCCTTGTTGCGATGAATCTTCTTGAGTCTTTGTAAACCTATCTCCAGGAAACCAGAATGCGTTAATATAAAAAGTCCTAAACAAGATTGCTAGAGAAGTGTAAGTTTGTGAAATTACAATGAATATGTACTGCTTCATCAGGCGGAGTTGAAAGTATGCAGATTATACAGTTCAATATGTAGACCATAAGCAGCTGTCCAGCATCAACACTCCAGGCTTATACAGATGATTCTACATGCAAAGCTACTACCTCTGTTGTTACAGTGCATGGTGTCAGTCCAGCTGCATCTTCCTGCAGATACTCAGAACTGTCATAGTAGATCAAGAACACTCAATAGGAACACCTGAAACTGCTAAGAGATACTGCTGCAGTGACATCATCAACAGTTCAGTTTAAGGAACTGAATGTTGAATTAAGACTGGACATCACAGCGCTAGGGACACCCCCATAAGCGCTCCGTCCCTATCTCCAGCAGCAAGCGAAGAGTTAAAATTCCAATAATACCAGTAGCCATTTGATTGTATATCCGTCTCGCCTTTCCCCTGAGTGTCGAGCATCTGCCAGATCCCCTTGCAATTCCTTGCAGTGACATTCTCCTTAAGGAACTAAAAGGTCATATGATTTTCAGTAACAATGAAAACACTGCAAAAGTAAATACAAGCAGTTTTTGGTTGATAAGCAGCAGTTGGAAACTCAATGTTTTAGAGGTGCTTGCTTGAGGGCTTCATAATCATGCTAATGGGAGAGGGGTAACCTGGTGTACATTTCATGTACTGTGCCACATAAGCCTTGAGACAGCTTAAAAGAGTTTATCTTATTTCTTCCTATCCTATACTTTTTTTTTTTTCAGATAGCTGAATTTGTTTTGTTTTTATTTTCCACTTTGTTTATTCCCCCATCCTCATCTTAACTCTTTGAGTACCAGGGGGTTTAGCATCACAGGCCCAAGGGTAGTCAAGAGAGACATTAAATCGGCGCATCATGCGTTCATTGGGCTTCTAGGTAGGAACGTAAGATTCTTTCCTTGGGACTTAAATCTTGACAAATCCAGGCTCTTTTGTGTCTGTATTTATTCTTTATAAAAATAAGAGATTGATGGTCTATTTCATACGACCATCATCGCAGAGATGGCAGCTGATCTCGTCTGTTTTAATTGTATCAGGTATTTATTTGTTTTATTTCATGCTGTTTAAAATTTTAGTGGCTGCTTATTTTATTACCGCTACAGTAATAACAATTTATTAACTTTCGAACACCCTTTTCTGTGCTGCTAATGTAAATGTAAAGGCTGTTTATAAATTGTACTAATCTTACTGTTTCATTTGCACAAAGTTATACTACAAATTATTATAATATAAAATCTTTTATTTATTTGTTTATACACAATAATCAGCCTGGCGCGCTAGCTAAGCTGGTTAAACCAGCTGCTCAGCGACCGTTGACAAACTCCTTGATGTCTGAGTTCACGCTTGGGGTAGGCAGCAAAGACACATATTTCCCAGATTTACGGTATCTGTCATGGAATCAAGGCCGAAGTGGCTGCAATATCCATAGTACTGAGCCAAAAGATTTACAACGCATGGTTTCTGGATTTAAAAAAAAATACACAATCATCTTCCAAGGGTAACCCTGATGTGAGCGTTGAGAGAAACAGGTCCTGGGCTAGATTCCATCCATGATATCGTAGTGAATGCACAAAACAGAACGGGGGAATAGACTGCAGGCCCTTTATGACATGTAGTGGCAGAACAGGGCTGTGAATGAATGAAATCATAATTGTACATACACAGTTTTTAAACCTTGAGAGAAGCTTGGTTCTATCACATGATGTACAATGAAAGTAAATGAAACTTTGATTCTGTATTAAAAACTAAAAACAGAAATATTTTCTCATGGAGGTATCTCTTAGAGACTTGGAATTTGTATTTTTTTTTTTTTTCTGTATCCTCACTGTTGTTAATTTATTTTTAATTTTGGGGCAGTTACCATAGGGGTTTCAAAAACAGAGTCCTACGACGAATATTTGGACTCATCAAAGATGCAAACAGCTCAGGGATAGTGATCTGTGGAGACACATGAGCACCTACGCCAGTTGGCCGGGCACATGATGATGATGTTTGTATTAGTTTCATCTACTTTGTGTCAGAGAGTCGACTCTTCAGATTTTGCAATGGCTGCCATGTCTGGCAGTATCAGTAAATATCTCTGGGTTGATGAGAGTGTCAATCGTCATTAAAGTTAAAGGCTGCCGTTTCTTAGTTTGACATGTGCAGAATGTGGCAATTGCCTTCTGTGGAACCGCCTCACTGGTTTCCAGTGTATTTTTTAGATTCTGTATTATTGTTAAAACATCCATCAACGCTAACAGCATCTGCTGGATCACTAGTTTTGTGGACATAGAAACAACTATGGGGTACTTTTATATGATTTCGGTAGGATATTTTTTTTTACTATGAGAGAAAGTCAGCAAGCTTCCTAATGTGACATGCTCAAATCGTTTATACAAGTTGCTGGTTAGTTATTCCCATTGAAAATAATAGAAACTAACTTAACCTGTTCCGAGGTTAATCAGATTTTAACCTTTGTTTTCCTAAATACAGTACAATGTAAATATACTAACAGATGATAATCATAAAGGGTTCCAGTAGCTATGCGTACAATTCTGAGAAGCTTCCGGAAATCTTGTATTCTCTACTTTCTGATGGTATGTTGCAGTAGTCGGACCAGCGGTGTGTTGTAGTAGTAGGACCATTGTTCCTCTCTTTGCAGGGAATGGGCCCTGAATCTGACAATGCACTAACATTATCAAGGGCTGTTTCAAATTATTTATAATTAATTAATATAGGCATCTCACATGGTTCGGCTGCATCTTCTTCTTTCTTCTGCCTTTCTAGCCCCCAATGGAGTTTGGCCCTCAACCAACTCACACCAATTCATTCTATCCTTTGCTATTGCATGCAGCTCTCCCTCATCTTTCTAACTTCATTCTCCAGCTCCCTTCTTCATGTTTTTGTTTTTGCCTTCCTTTATTACTATGCTCCTGTGGGTTCCAATGCAAAGACATTCTAGTTATATTGTTCTCCGGTTTTCTTAGTGTGTGTCCTATCAAATGCTAGTGTCTTTTCTTCACCTCTTGATCCACTGGAGCCTGTTTAGTTCTCTCCCAAAGTTCTACATTAGTAATTCTGTCATACCATTTAATTCCCTCTATTCTGCGCAGGCACCAGTTAATGAACGTC